TTTATTAAATATCTTGATGAAATCATAAATTCATAATAAATTAAAAACTAGACTAAGAAATTTTAACGTTTAAAAAAAATTGTACACTTATCTAATTATTTTTAATATTATACTTTTTATAACTGCATCTGTCTAACTTGTTAGTAGTTGAAAATTGTATTAACTATTGGAAAATAGAAAAATTAGACATTCTATTCATTACACCTAATAAAAAACTCAGTCAAATATGAATTTTGATAGACAATTCTAATATAGCTATAATATCATTTATATCTGTATAATTATTTTTACTAGATTAATATAATGGAATAATATCATTCCCAAATAATGATTACCTATGAACTGTACACTTTAAGTAAATAGTATATTATTTGATATTACCATATTTTAAAATAATTAATAATTTTTGTTTTTCATAAGTCTAATAAACTTAATAAAGTAAATGCATTTCAAATTATTTTTATTTATTATTCAGCTCATAATACACATGGGAATATGCAAATAAATAATAACACTTAAGAGTTGGCTTAATATTATGACAACATCTTACAAAAAAATCCCATTCTGACCAAACTTTATACGGGATATAAATGATTCAGAAAATAAAGTAGTGTTTATATAAAGGTTAATAGCTTTGAGCTTAGTAAAGTCATTTTTATGAAACACTAAAGATTTTTTACATTAAACACGTACTTTTTCTCGTTTCCTTTTCGTTGTCACACTATTATGTGTTAAAATCAAGAAAAAATTCCTATTTGCCGAATATTGAAGGAATGAGAGTTCAAGAGTGATAAATGTTTTTAGTTAAGTTTTTACTTAAAATCTATTTTAGATAAGTATTGGAAAAAAATGTGTATGTAATAGATCAAAAAATAATATTTAAATTATTGTGAAAGTTCATAGATACATTTTAACTTTCTGGTTAAATTTTATTTTTACTAAAAATTTTCAAAAAATAAAATAAAAAAATCATTTTTTAAGAAATTATATTATGAAATTTTTTTGAAAATGAATTTTAAAATGTTATTTTGTTTAAAAAATGAAATGTTATTTATTTGGTACAATTAGAATGTAAAGTATAAAATTAAAAAAAAAAAATAAAATAAATTACTAGAAATTTATTAATAATCAATTTAATATAGTAAAGTAGTAATCAAAAATCGTTATTTAACACAATATTAAATATTAAATATTGTATCGAAAATTATTAAAAATTATGCCATAATATGATATAAATATGTGAAGAAATTTTTTATTTTTATAGTATATAAATAATTAATTAAAATGTTAAAGAACTATATAGTTATCATTCTAGATTTATTGTAATACTGATATAATGATATGTTTATGATAAATCTTTAATAAACTATTATATTAAGAAATTGTTTCCTCTTTTCATTATTTATATTGTTAATGTAGGTTTGTTTTGGTGTATTAATTTTATCGAGAGGATTTATTACTCTGGGTGTAATGATAAAGAATCTAAATGTTTTATGAATTGGAAATCAATATTTTGCTATGATTTAATATTAAGTCTTTATTTTTTAGCTTTTAAATACTCGCAAATAATTATACTCACTCTGTTAAAGTTGACCGTTTTAATTATCACCTTTTTTAACACTTGCTTTCTAGAATCTAGATAAATATACCCTTTATTATTTTAGTAAAATCCTAACACGGCGCGATGAATAGGCAAATTAAGTCCATTTTTTGAAATTAAAATAAAAAAATAAAATTTTGCAAAGGATAGCATTTTATAAATAAATTAAAACCTTTTCACTAATAAATAGAATTTTAACCACTGTAATATTAAAGTATTGTGATAAATATGTAAACATTATTTTTAAAGTACAATTATATCTGAGCAGATTATTAATGAAATTATTTGATATATATTAATTAAGCATTTAAGTTAATATTTTAAATTATTAAATGTATTTATACGCCGGTAATACTGTTCCGTTTGAATATTAATCAATTAAATTTAAAAAAAAAAAATAATTGCATAACATAAATCAATTAAAAATAGTATAAAATACTTTTTTTTTTAATTTGTAAAAACAAATAATTAATTTAATAATATGTGATAATTAGGATAAGAATATTTAAGATTTATTATATTAAAGTTATTAAGCTATAAAATATGAATTAATAAATAGGCAAAGGCAATGGTATGTAATTTATTAAAATAGATAAATCAAATTATCGAGGAATATTAATTACTTTAATTTGATTTTTAATACTTTTTAAAAAATATTTTGTTGTTGAAATTATTATATATAATGAAAAAAAAAACATTTATTTAAGAAATATTTTTAAAGTTATAATAATAAAAGTAATTTAATACTGCGTAATATTTTTGTTTATTAAAATATTTTAATAAAATTTTATTTTGTATGTATTTGTATACACTAGCAATCCATTATAAAGGATTTGCTAGTTTGTTAGTTTAAAAAAATCATACATATTATATTAATATTGAAATAGATGAAATGATGAAATGATATTTTAAGTAACTATATTTACTTTAACTATATGAACAATAATACATTTTTCATGTTTCTTATTATGTGTTTTTTTATTCTTAACTGCGAATAATATTTCTATATTTATTGATGAATGAGCCAAATAAATCATTTAAGAAAATAGTGGTATTATGTATTTGAATTTATTTTTATGAAATAATTCCGTAGATTAACATTAATTTACTCGTGTTTTCAATTATAAATTACATCTAAAAGTATATTTGATAATGTTTATTATATCTTTAATGATAGACCAATCTTGTTTATAAGAAATATATTATCATTACCAAGTTTGGTAAAAATATGTATGAATTTCGTATAATACAATATATTTAATTGAAATTTATGTTGTTACATTGTATATACATATTTTAAAACCTTATTTGTGGTTTAATTAATACTTTTAATTTTTAATCTTACATAGGTTGTCATTATTTTTTTTAGTAAAATATAAAATACCAACACAAAGTCAAACATTTTTAATTTTTATTCATACTTTTTTTCGTTCTAGCAAATTCTGATTATACATAATTTAAATTTTATTTAATACCTATTATGTAATAATTATACATCAGCATACAAATTATAATTGCACATACATTATACTTTATTTATATTAATTACTACCAAATATTTATCTTTTTAAATATATTTTTGAATTTTTTATTTTGGATTTTAAATACATTTTACAGTAAAATTTAAAATTTAATTTGCATTTTACATTTTAAATAGATTATATGACTATAATTTTTACAACTCTGATACTAACGTTTATTTAAAAATTGAATCACAAATTAAATTACGAAGATCATTATTATATAGTACTTATTTTGGTTGTAGTTTGTTAAATTTAACTAAACAAATTTATTTATTAATTATTTTTTTATATTACGGATATTTGCAGATGAATGAAGTTAATATATTTAAAGATCATTTAAAATTATATAAAAAGTATTAAAAATTATGTGTACTCACTTGGTAAAAAAAACGGAAACAACCATGTTGTAAACTTCATAGCAATTGAAAGCACTGCCAGACTACTGTGTTGGGACCAATGATGAATACTAACATTGGTAGTTGATCACGTGTAAGGGATTTGACAAAAGCATTCCCTCCTCTTGAGTTGTATGAAGTATTTAGTGCACTCTGGTGGTTTGGAGTAGGATAACATTAAATCAGGTAAGTTTTAATTTAACCCAAGAAATGGCGGTAGAATTTATTTGAAATAAATACCTTCGTATTCCTGAGGCTTGAATGATGAAGTAAATTTACTTGTATAGTGTATTATAGTTAATACAGTGTATTATTGTAGATATTAAATTTAAAAGAAAGGTAAATGTAAACGTTTAAATTGAAACTTATGTTAATTATGTATTTAAAAATTATTGTAAGCTATAAAATTATAGTTTATTTTGAGTAAGTAAATTTGTGTTTAGGTTATGAACAAATGTTTATTTGTTTTTTAATGCTAATGTTTGTAATTTTGTATCTAATTAGCAAATTATGATAAAATTATACAATACCAACATAAATATATATATGACATAGTTTGTTTGCTTATATTTTTTTATACAACGACAACGACATTATCAGTATATAGTATATACTATGTAGTAATTTGGTCATGTAAATTTTTATGCTAAATATATAGTATTGACACTTGAAGCATAGTATGATATAAAGTTATTGTCATTAATATAATTGGCATTTAATGTCTATTTTTATTGTTATTATTTAAATCTAATTTCAATTTTTTACTTTAATCGAATAAAATAAAAAAGAAGGGTTTCCTTTATAAATATAATTGTGTAATGATCTATAAATCTAAATTTATAAGTATAAATTATTTGTTTTATTGTAATTTAGAAGTATATTTTATAAGTTTAATTATTATTTTTTCAATTAAAAAAAAAGTTAACTTTTAATTGAAACCATATAATATAAGTAAAATATTATCATAAAAATAATTTATCAATTATTAAATATTATTTTCTGTTGATCTAGTAAATTACTTTGTATAAATTTAAATAAAATTAAATATACGAGTATAGACATAATTTTCTAAAAAAAACTATTTATATAAACTAATTATAATAATATACACATGATGTTAACTTATTACGATTATCCTCTTGTATACAAAATATTAAACTTTTTTCTTCTTTCTACATGTTATATATACACAATAAACATATTGAATAGAGTTAAGCTATCTTCAGTAATTAAATAAAAACAATAAATATTCTAATTTTTTTTTTATTTAGGTCAAAAAATTCTTAAAATTAATAATAAATTATACAATTTTAAAATATATTAGAAATAAATAAGTATATATATATTTATCTTATAAAAATAGTAAGGAATTCGTTTAATTTAGTTACTTACATAAATATAATAACAAATAAAATATAATATCAAATCGTATTTTGTTGTTTTTAACGTTCATAAACATAATATTATATAGTTTATATAGTTACAAACATAATTTATAATAATATATTTTTGTTCTCTGGAAAATATTTTGCTCTTTTATAAATACTGTGTAGACTGCCCAAAGTCGTATGCTTGTAAATTTTTAATTATATTTGTTGAACATTGTGTACAATATTGAGTGGCTTACAAACAATAACGCTATGACTCTATGTACACAACTATAGCTATAACATAATGTAAATATATTTGTTAGTAATTTTCTGACGGTTTGTTAATAATTTGCATTTTATATACAATACTAATAATTAAAAAAAAAAATGTTACTATGATTTATTTAAACTGTTGTAAAAGAAACCCCTGAAAAATAACATCAATAAAACCGAGGAAAGGTTTTCTGATATAAATTAGATTTTGAGTGTACCTATCATCATGCAGTAAATCAGTATAATGTGTATATTTAATTTGAATTCAATAAAAAATAATTGCTCATAAAAATAAATTCTGAATAGATAAGGTGAATTAGCCTCTATTTTCATGGGTATTTTATAATTTATTTTGATAAATAAATATCTGATTTCGTAAAGATCTAAAAATTAGAAGGTTATAAATGAAATAAGATTATATATTTTTGATATTCTTAAAATACAATTCTGTCAGATAATCTTATGAAAGGGATTGCATAATACATATTAAATCTTAAGCTCTTAAAATTAAAAACTAAAAAACTATATGCATTTTAAACAACAAAATAATTGGTAAATTTTTGTAGTTTAGGCGAGCATATTAACTTCCATCGCTTTTATCTGTTTGTCATAATTTTATTGAACAGTAAAAAAACTTTGAAAGAAATGTCGAAGGCAGTAATTTAATTTACTCTTTTTAGTTAGTATCTGAATTTTAAAATACGTTGAGTAGTATAGACTTGATGCATACTACTTGCGTCCCAAATTGATAATAACAGATAACCTGCGTTCGAACAGTTTGAACGCAAGTCACTTGCTAATTATTACCAGAGGTAAATTGCGTCCAAGTTGTTAGGACGCATTTTACTTGTCGTATATATTGATGTGTTAATCACGTCACGAATTAAAATTTGGTAACGATAAAATTTTATAGTTAGGCATACTTACTTAAGAAAAAACCATATACTTAGGTGTAGTTACGCAAATTGTTGTATTTAATAAAAAAAGATATGTAGATAATACAAAAATAAAACACAGGTATATATAATGTCATATAATCAAAAAAAAAAAAAAAAAAATTGAACCAAAAAAATTTATAAATGTTGTTATAGATCAATATTAAGTAAACATTAGTAATACATTTATAGTTATTACTAAATAACATATTTCTTTGTTGTTAAGTTTAACAACTTGAGTTTCAATAAATTTTATTTTATCTTTTTGGTCACTACTATATATATATTTTTTTTTTTTGTTAATTCAAACTGTTCATTAGAATTTATTTATTAATTTGAAATTCTTTTGGTATCTTAATGAACATGAAAATATTAGTGTTATGATAAAATGAAGAATTATATTTCGAATGAAACGATTCACATGAGTTAGAGGTTCGCCGAAGACTAGTAAAATATTCAGTCCATATTTGAGGAGAGAAACGCTAGTCTTTAGAGATATAATTATTTAGAATATAATTACAAAATTGTTGATTTCTAACCAAAATTATCGTTTGGGACGCAAATAACCTTCCAATAAATGTCATAGGTAAGTTGCGTTCGAGCATTTGGGACGCAACTTACTTGTTGTAATATTCCAAATTTTTATCAACTATCTTACGGGACGCAAGTAACATGCAACTTATAGACTAACACACCGTATTTACTCAAATTCATTTTTTATATGCAATGATTTTTCGTTAAATTCAAATTTAACACATACAATTTAGTGACTTACTCCTCAATGATGAGGTCTAATCAACACCTATTGTACAATAGAGCGATTAAATACTTCATTTATTCTTGCAGTATTTTGAATTTTTACTTTTACTCATTATAAATTCGATATTCTACCTAAATATCATCACCAACGTTGAAAATTATTTTTATTTTTTTTTAATAATAATTTTTTTACTAGGAATTGGTTACATATTCATAAGTTTTATTATTTTTTTTGTTTATTGTTATTTTAATTATATCGAACAGTTTTATTTTTTATTGGTTATGTATATACATATATAATGCCTGTAAGTTTTTATAATTATTATGTCTTATTTTATTATATATTTTGTTTCATATCTGAAAACACTTAGAATTAAATTATATCAATATAGAGAATTTATAAAATATATATAAGATTAAGAACGTTTTTTTTAACGTCGAAGGTTTATTCAATATAATGAACTTTATTGATTTTTTGCCAAATAAGTGAATTAGACGCGTATTAAAAATATATTTTCTTTTTGAAAGATACCGCCCTTTTGATGTTTAAGGAGCAGGTTCCTTTGATTTTTTTTGTTTTTTATTTTTTTATTTTTTTTTTTATAAACTTAGCTACTTTCACGTTTGTTTCAATAGTGCATTTGTATAAAACAAAAACTTTTCCTTTTATAATTTCCGTTTATTTTATACCTTCGATCAATAGAAAATTAATTTAAAAGTTAATTGTTATGAATTATAATTGTTATGTTTCATGAATTAAATAATAAACATTTAAAATTTTTAATAATAACTCCAATACCATATTAAACTGCAAATTTAAAAATATGAAAGACATAAAAATCAAGTTGTATAATTTTATTTAAAAATATAATAGGTATACGTTAAATAAAAATTCAAAAATAAATTCTCTTAAAATTACTTATATATTAAAAATTATATTTGATAATAATAAATAATAAACTAAATTTTTAATATGCTGTTTTCATAAGTTAATTGTACATTTTATTTTAAACAAAGATTTTCATTAACGATTCATTATATATTATATATGTCGTAAAATGTTTTATCTTTATTTAGCTATTCTTAGCTTGAATGGTAAATACGCACAAAATACACTATATATATCCATGTTAAGATAATAAAACTTATTCATGAAATTCAAATTTATAGTTTACAAGGTTAAATTAGTAGATTGTACAAGCTTTTATTATTTTCTATAGAATTTCATTCGAAATTAAAACTCTTTACAGCTTAACTTTTTTTTACAATCATATCAAAAATCCCTTATTTTGACTTTAAAAGAATTAAAAATTAATTTAAAAGAAAAAATTATAAATTTCTATTCTTTATAAAATGTATTTATTATGCTGTGAAACACCGATTGTGAATAAAAGAAGCTAAAAGCTCTTCAATTTAGAATAGTTATTTATAAATGTTATTGATGATTTTAGAAATTGTAATAATATGCATTGACTTGAACAGTTTTTTAAAATAAAAAAAAAAAAACAAAAAGATATAAACTACTTGAACAGTTTTTAGGTAAAATTTTATTACCTACATAAGTATATTAATAATTTTATTATTATTCTTGTATAACATTCAAGGATATGTATTAAAAATTTTAAGACTCACTTTTATTACTTACCAAACTAATTTTTCTACAATCGAACTAATTATGATTAATTAGCGTTTGCTGATTAAACTACATAATGATATTTTTATGGACAGCTATAAATTTAGGTTATAGTGAATATTTATTCTTTATGTGTTTTTTCATTGTTATTTCAATATTTTTTTGTAAGTTTTGCTGTATTTTAAATTTGATGTTTAAGTACTAGATTTTATTATCAGTAGTATTGTTTAAATGACAAACATTAGACATATGACTTATGGGATAAACCTTAGGATACTTAGAAAATACAAATACAACGTTATTTAGGTATCATATTATTTGTACTTATTATTATTCAACAAATACATACTAAATTTTACCATGACTTATTAACCATGAATTTTATAGTGTATCTCAGTTAAATTACCTATAAAATATATTAACTTATAAATGGTTATGTAAATAATATGTTTACTCATTACTTCATAAAAAATTGTTGAAAATATTTATTTTCAGTTCATCAACAACTTTTTAAAATGTATGTTTTAGGGTTCTTATTAATACATTAAATTATACAATCATTAAGTATAGTATGATTATTAATTTACATGAAAATTTGACTAATTTACCTTTATTTTATGATGTCGGATTTTAATTTTTCAATTTAAATTTTTGAATCCCTTTCTCATTATTCGGTCTGTTTCCAAATTTTTCTCTATAAATAAATAATCAAAATCATAAAAAAAAAATTATAGACATGACAAATTATAATATTTATAATTTTGATGTATTGAATAATAGTTTTAACCCACTACTTTACGATACGTCATTTACAAATATTTTTATTATTTTCTTAAAGGTATTAAATTTAAAGAAATATAATTACATATGAAGTTCATTAAGTTTTATTTAAATTATTAAAATTAATATATTCAATAAAAATGTTACTTACGACAGTAAGGTTCAAAAAATGCAGTTCCTGCAATGAAAACACCTCTGCCTGGATATTGATCAGTACTTAAGCCTAATGGTACGCATTCATTAAATTGGCATTTGTCAATATTCATCAATATAGGCTGAAGTTGACCGACAGTTGCAGCACTATGAAATACACAATGCATTATATAAACTTTAAAAGTAATTTAATTTTATGCGTATGTAAAAAAACATAAAAAAAACATCATACTTAGTAATAGCAGAAAATAATTTTATTTTCTGAGCCCAGAACGTACAATTGTCTTCTAATGATTCTATGAAATACGAAAACGATCTTCCGTGTGAGCAAGCAACCCAAGTTCCTAGTACTAAATATCATAAAACCAAATTATATTAATGAACAATTTGATTAAAATACTTAATTGTTATTTTATAAATTTTTTGAATTATTTAATTTATGGGGTCAGTGATTATTTATTTTAAATTATTTTTAACTGAGTATATTTTACAATTGTATTAAGAACAATCGGTAATTGAATTGTTAATATATAATAACGAATGAGGTTATAAATTGTTAATTTTATTATTATTATTATTATTATTATTATTTTTTTTTTTTTTAATAAATAATACAAATTTTATATTGTATAATTAAGTAGTATTTAGAACTAAGTTAATAACTATTACTATTGAGGTATGTCTATTGCTATTCAAGTTAAAATGATTCTTAAATAACATTTTAATTAGCTATGTACTATTTATACATATTATACTTGTTTGGGAGATTTTTCATTTATCCGTTTTTTTTAGATTTAACGATTATTTCTTTCATTATTGTGAATTTATATATTTGTTTCTTGGTAAATACCACACCGATTCTTAATTCTGAATTAATTTATTTGTATTAAACATATTTATCTAAATAATTAGTATTATAATATTTTATTATTATTCAGAAATGGAGATCAATGTACCAATAGTTTTATTATAAATTAATTTTGTAAAATTTGACCATTAACCAAACTATTTTTACCAATTCATACAAGAAGCTTTTTTACTCACTATTATAGGTTTTGTATCATTTCATTAATAATGTTTTGTTTTGAAATATATTTATTATTTTCATATATATATATTTTTTATTCATCTTTCGTATTATTTTATTTGATAAAATTAATTATAGTGTTCTGTTCTTACAAAATCCACATTAGAATAATTGAATATTTCCCATGGTATTTTAAAATTATTTACATTGATTTATGTTGATTTGTTCTGTTTATCAGTCATATTAAAAATGTCCAATAACGAATAAAAATATTATTACCGTCAGCAGGAATAGCAGCTAAATCCGAAATACTTGTTAATTTTACTTCGTTTATTGGAGGTAAAGTACATCCTGGTTGTATGAAACCACCATTCATATAAATGTCCACGTGACCTATCAAATTTAAAATAATAATAAGAATGCGTCAAATTTTGATAATACACATGAGTACAAAACTCGTATAATTACCTACGGGAGTGATTAGTCCAAAACCTAATAATGGAATTGTGGGTCTACAGCTTGTATGTATAACATCAACAAAATGAGCATCTGATTTATCTAATCGTACTTCCTTTGGACAACCTTCAAATCCTGGTTGTGCTGGGTCAAATGCTGTTATTCGACTTACACCGGGGATACCTTTACCAAAATATGAAGATATATGAGCACCCAAACTATGACCCATTATGTGGATTTTCAGTGGATCTAATTGATAATGATCAATGAGATATTTTCCAAACCTAAGGAAAAAAAGTTTGACATTGTATTTAAATAATTTAAAAGAAAAAATTTTTGGTGTTTGTATGTTATACTATACCTACTGTTATTATATGCTTATATAATAAAATCTGTCTTTTATACAATTATAAAAATTAATATTGTTATTAATTTGAATGGTTCATCAAAAAAATGTTAATTCTAAAATTCACAAATTATTATATTATTATGATCATTTTTATCTATATTTAACCATGAAACCAGTTAAAAAATATGAATAGGTAGAATAAATTACATTTAGCCGATTGTAAAATAACTAAAAGTCAATGGTTAATCATAATCTAATCTGTCAGTTATTTATTCTTATAATAATTTACTTACTTGTTTAGTTGCTTATGTTAGTTTTATAATTTAGAGTATAAATACATTTACTTATAAGTGTGATACATGAATACAGTAATCTAATTTATCTCTTAAATTTAATTTTTAATATTACCTAATTAATTCTGCACCAACAATCCTTGTGTTTGAAGCAACTTGTAAATAATTAAATAGCTTTGACCCTTTTCCCCAATCAACTAAGAACACATTTGCATCACGCTAACAAGAAAACATAAATAAGTTCAAATTAGAATTTATACTTAATCTACAACTAACTATGTGTATTATTGCTTATTCATATTATTTTATACTTGTCTTAAGTATGCATTTTTAAGAGCAGCCATCCAATCATTTTCCCCATTGCTATTAAATCCGTGTATTATAAAAACAGTAAATGGCCTCTCAGGATCGAAGTCTGATTCTTCTAGTAAAATATTTGGCCATAATTGCACAGTATACCGAGTATTTTGTTTTCTAAAACATATATATTGCTAATTAATAGTTGTAAATGCATACATTTATTGATTAATTAAAGAAAAACACAAAGTACCTAGTAAACGAATAAATTTTTACTTCTACTTCTTCAGGTGTCATAGGTTGTGGAAAAGGTCTTAAGTTTGAAGTCCAAGGATATTCCATTGGAAAACAACCAAGTTCATCAAAACATCTAGATTCATTTCCAAATCCTAATAAATTTATCTCATATTGTCAATCTGAATTGTTATTAAAACATTTTATTAACTTTATACTTTAATGTATAACAATATATCTAGCTAAATATTAAAATTAAAATATAATCAAACGTAAATAAATGATGTAAAATAATGATTTTTTAATTGTTTACATATAATTTTTCATAAGTACTACAAATTTGTTGTTATTTAGTGAAAAAGTTATGAAAATATGAAAAATATATTTGGATTGTGTTTTTATAATATTACATACGACACTCACTAATTTAGTCAATGATTGCGTCTGTAAAAGTCAATATCCCATTGTTACAGATATTATCAGGTTTCTATATAAATATGACTTGCATGAAAGGTTTATCACTAAATCAAATACTTATTTACCCATGTTAATTCTCAAATCAATAGCAATGAGTATAATTAAGTTGTTTATTACAGCATTTATAACTTCTATAAAACTATTATTTTCTTAAAATATATTTTTGTGTTTTACCAAGACTGGGTGAAATGCACTGCTGAAGTAATGAAGCTCTAAGGAGGTTATCTGCATTTTTGGGTATCACACATTTAGCTTTTTTTATTATTTCTTCAATAGAATTTAATGGAATTTTTTTAAGTGTCTCTTTGGTTGTCGTAATAGTTTTGTTCACCATGGTGGCTCCATTTTGTAGTGATTCTTTTGTTATCGTAATAGTTTTGTTTACTACTTTATTCCCATTTTGTTTAACGCAATCACCAATCTTTTCGCACACATCTTGAACATTGTGCAATATCGATGTGGTAGAATCTTTAACGTCTGTTGCAACATTTTTAACGGCTCCTGTTATTTTATTTAAAGGATTTGGTGATTGTCCATTACCTGTCAACAATTAAATAAGAATACATAATTTAGAAATAACTTAAACCTCAATATTACAAATTTCATATTTGTAAATTATTTTTTAAAGTACTAATATTTATGTTATACACAATGCTTGATAATCAAATTTTTTTCTAAATATTATAACATTAAAATATTACAAAAGTTGCTTGACAAATAAGTTTTGTGTTGTTAATAAAATTATATAGCAGCTACTAAAATAATAATTTTTAAGTTAAATTAAATTTGTATTTTTTGTGAATATGCTTGTTTTATTACTGTAATTCTAAACAAACAATATTATATAAGTAATAACCCTGTTGATTAATTCTATGTTTATTATTAAAAAATAAATTTAAAAAAATAAAATAAGATAATTGCTCTACTGTATATTTTTTAATTCTTATCATTAAGTAAGTCACTATAATAATGTGTTAAATTTGAATTTGATGATAAATAATTGTATATAAAAACGATTCTAAATAAAGACGGTCTGTCATATATTTCTAAGTATTATATTATGTGATATAATAATAATAATAAAATAATTTATTTTAATATTCCATCTCTTGATTATTTTATTTTTTTATCATATCGTTGTGTGTATAAAATTTAATTATTTGTATATAAGTTTTAATCCTATGAAAACTATGCTTTTACACATTTTTAACTATAAAATAATTCACAATTTTTAAACTTCAAATGCCTATATAAAATCAATGTCATGATGTATCTTTAATAATTTTGAATATTCACAATTTATGAAGAATCTTTTAATACATTTTTAATATTATTTTTGATAAGGTGAAATTTTATCAAAATTTATAAAAAAAAACTAAAACAAATTAAAAGTTGTAAATCTCTATAAATAGTTTTAAAAGAGTCAAAATGGTTTTTATGTTATGCTATATATAGAAAAATATAACATAAATAATTGGCGAAAATTTTAATTATCTACGTTTGTTCATCTTTAATTATAATAAAATAAGAAAATCTATTTTTCAAAAATTAATTTTCCTTAAAAATTTCAATTTTTTTTTTATCCGATTATTATGAACAGTATTGTGAATTTTCAATGTTGACTTCTTAAAAGTATCAATATGATTTATTTTTCTATCAGAATCTACTCTGAAAGTTAAATATTGAAACCTTTTTCTGCTATAAATCATGTCTACATATACAATAAGAAATACACACCATTGTAAAACCGTTCAATGAGCTTCGCTCAAAATTTAAAACTTTTTATTTTTCAAATATTAGATAACTTTAAAGTTATCATCAAATAATAATACCTTGTAGATATCATGTTTTAAGCTATTGTATATCGAATTAAAGGTTTTTTCATATGTTACTTTAAAATAATATTGAGTTCTTTAAAAATGATGTAAAATACTGTCAATTTTTTATAGCACGGTTAAATATTATACTTCAAAATCTATGTATATAATGTAAACTAAAATTTACTCGACTATCGTGTTATTGTTTTAAAAATTGAATTATTTTTTATTCTATTTATTTTTGTTTTGATTTGTAACAAGCATAACTAGGTTATTACTCCAAAGGTAATTATAAATTTTACAGATGTAACATTTAAATCTATTCATAATTTCGAATTTAATTTTTATAAATTTAATATTCTATTAGACAAGTAAGCATTAATATTAGTATTAAAATATATGATAACTTTTTTTTTAAACTAAAAAATTGTCAAAATGTAATATTTATTAATATTATATTTTTTTAATAAAATTTAAACATTTAAATTTCAAAAATAATTTGTTTTTAATATTTCTACAGTAAGTCGATATCTATTATGCGCATAATTAGGTTTATACATTTATTTAACATTTTACACAATTAAGTACATCAATGAATTGCGCTTGGATTAAAAGATTAAAATACTTATAACACATTATTCACATAAAACTTTCATTTAGTATATTATTCCCACATAAAAACAATTTGTAGGTATTTATATTTATAATATTACTTTTGCAATTAAAAAAAAAGATATTTATAAATTTTTTTTTTCAATTAATAACTTACAATTATTTAAAGTGCTTAGGAATATTAAAATTCCAACAGCCAGCAACTTGAACTTAAACAACATAACAATGGAATATGACTAGCACCTTCGTTGGAGAATGATCATCGATCGACTGAACGCAATGTGCATGTGTTAAATGTTCATGTGTACTAATAAGGTTTAGTATTATTAAAAATACCTAAGTATATAATGTTTTCTGGCGTTTGACCTTAAGTTCAAGATTATCAAGATGTACTCTTGGATGTAACCATCAACACTCAATAGCATAATATATTCACAATGATTTAGCAATCAATTAATCGTTACAATGAGTAATTCTTAAAAATATCTTAATATGCAACAAGAATTTTTTCTACGTGTAAAACATAATAATAAAATAAATTATTCGTTTGTATAATTTATTTATTGTTAATTCTTGTTAATGTTTATCAACTATTAAAAAATCAATGGGACGATCATATCTGTGTTGTTTTATAATTTTTTTTTTTTTACTCAAACTAAAATTGTCATTTTGCCAAGTCAATACTCAAATCTTACGTCCATACTTCATAGAAAGTATGAGAATATTTATTTGTTTTTTATATTTTCTATGAAGATATGTCACGTATCATATATCTTGTTTAGCTCACATAATTTATTTAATTTTATTAATCAATGTAATAAAAAAAAAATACTTGTATAAAAGTGTTTTTAATAAATAATTTTAATATAATTAAAACTTTAAGTTGCTTATAATGTATTAAAGTCAAATAAAACATAAATATTGAATGTTAAAAAAATTGGTATATAGAGTATTGTAAGTTTTGCTAAGCCTATTTAAAATAATAGCTCATGCGTTATTTATCCAAATTTATTTATACAAGGCAATTCTCCAATAATTTAATCGACATTAAAACATACAACCAACTATAGTTAAAACACGGTTATTTAAATAAATATATTGGATTCGCGTAAAAATTCCCATTTTCCTTTTTAAAATTAAAGTATTCTATCTAATTCTTATCTTTTATATTTAAAAAACATACCTATATCATTGTAAAATCATCACATTCATCGCTCTGATCAGAATTTAAAACATTTGCAGATTTGAATTTTTAAATTTGTATTTTTTTATATTTTTACTTAAAACTATTTAACTATTTAAATGTTAAACGTAAATTATTTTTACTTTTTAAACTTAAATTGATGTCTATGAATTAAAAAATATAATAAATAACCTTTATTTTTAATGAAAAATATAACAATAGAACAGTGTTATATTTTATGTTATATATATATAACATAATACGATCATAGGTTTTGGAGTAGACCCGTTGTTATAATAAATGTATAATATTAATTAATTAAAAATTTATTATTTTGATTATCATAATTTTATATAATTTTTTAATGATTAATCGATATAAAATTAAAAGTTTGAATATAATAATTATACTACCATTTAAATTTCATAATGTCAACCGTTAAAATATGAATTAAATTATTTAAGTATAATATTAATATAAACATTAATAAAAGGAAGGTATCAACTAACAACTAGTTAATTTTGAGGATAATTAGATTTTGTATTGGTTTCAAAGTTATTTTTGAGTTTAGGGCATTATAAAGAATTACATCAATAATCAGAAAAAATTGAAAAAAATATAGAAATACGAGTGTAGGCCGTTTGAGGAGAATAAACCCAAAATGTGGTTTGCTTGAGTAAATAATAATATACGGTTTGGGTGAGTGTTTATTCCATCAAAAACGTTGCCTGGATGAATACATTTTAATAAATCAGTTTATAGGTAAAATATTTTTTATATATTATATAGAAATATACTTTTAATAATGTTGAGAGAAAATAAATAAAAAGTAAAATAAAATCACATGTACATTAAAGTCCATATTTCTCACGCTGGTAAAAATAATTTCACTCGTCCTATATATTTACTCAGATTTATATATTTTATATTAAGAGTTAACATTAATTAAGGTCAAAATTAACTAATTCAGATAAAAGCAATTAAATAAAGCTTAATTATTGAAATAATATAAGATTATACTGATATATATATTAATTTTATTATGGTGACTAAGAACTAAACTTATAAAAATATTTTTCATTTGTGTTGAACAATATAATATTATAATTATGTTTTTGCCTTATAATATTATATATTTTTTAATTTTATAATAATGGTATAAAAAATAATATCATATTATTTTATTTTAATTAATAGGTCCAAAGTTCAAGTTATGTAGGCGAGGTATCTAATAAATAGTATAATAATTATTATTCAACTTTATTATTATTATAATTTTATTCATTTGATTTAGCTCATGTAATGTTGACGAACACTGTTAAATTTGTTTTGACTAAAATTATTAAATTTTCAAATAAAAGTGATTGATTAGAATTGTATGCCCAAGGGCTAAGATACATTTTAATTTAATAATAATACTGCTTACAAAATGTACAAGTATAATATTAAAACTATTCAATTTCGTCTCATTCAACATATTTGCAACAATTTTAAATTAATTTTAAAAAACTCCGTCATGTTTAATTATTTCTCAACAATCTAAATAATTACACTTTTAAACTTAACATGTACATAACTAATGTGTTGTGAAACCGACATAAAGAAAACCTAACATATTACCCTTAATGTAGGTAACTAAATCTAGAATTTTTATAATTAAAAAAACTCATTCAAACAATTCACAGTATTAACTTTTTTTAAATTTAAATACCAATTAAAATATTTTTATTTGTGAAATTGGCAACGAATTTCATTAATTTAATTAAAACAATAATATCTCAATTACTAAGTTTTACTTTATTTAAATTTTGTGTACCTATTTTAAAAGTTTTTTCATTAATATCTGTAAATACATTCTAATATAAATAACTAAAAGTATCAACATAATTTTATGATTAAAGCAATTAGTTATTAACTCTACTCTGTTCTAAAAGTTGCATCATAACACATTGATAAAGAATTAAAATAAAAGTACATTTCAATAATGCTATAATACAGAAGTGACCAGTGAGCAGAAATTTGTGAACCACCCGATATATTAATAAATATGGAAGAACAAAAATGAAAAAAAAGATCATATTAATGAAAATATATAATATATAATAATCGTAAATAACATAACATTTGAAATGTAATAAAATGTGTAGAATGCGATACAATACAAAATATTAATTAATAATTAAAAATATAATATAAAAATATATTTAAATATTATATTAAAAACATTATTTTTTTTTTCCTGTAAATTGTAATTTAATAAAATATTATATTTCTTCAAATACATAAATTCATATTGAAATTTTTTTTTTTTTGTAAAAATGTTTTGTCTCTTATGATAAAATGCGAGCCGCAGATTGGTCACCTCTGTTATAATATAATATACATAAATACTATAGATATAAAATTATTCATGTGCTCGTGTATAATGATTATTTACAAAAAAGGTAAGCAAAGATCATAAATTAATAATTATTGCACATAAGTGAAATTTATCAATATTTTTAATTTATTCTGACTATAAATATTATTATTCTCAACTATTTTTATAATTTCGTTTAAATATTATTATCAATTTATCGAACAAATAATAATTTTTAGAATTTAGATAATGAAATTAAAACATATTAGGTTATAATTTAAAAACTAAAAATTAATTTGTTATTTATATCAATGAACAAAAAAGTAAAAGTGGGCAAGTAGATAACTACTCTGGATTGGTGTATAGTATACTTTGTCATTGAATAAATAATTGTGTTAAATTTCAATTATATGATAAATCGTTTAGACCAAAAATAATTTTGAGTAAAGACGGTGTGCCAGATAATATTACTAAATATATTTTACATTTATATTGTTATTTATATAGTACTTTATTTTACTATATGTAAATTAAATTAATTCATAATATGTAATTAATTATTTATTCATTTTATTTATATGTTCTGCACAATTTTTATGCCTTTTTTTTTTAAGACAACACTTGAAAAAAAACTAAAATATAAATCCAACTTTGTCAAAATTTTTGATATACATAAAAAATATTTATGGAATTCCGCTTAACTATTATTTTTAAAACCTTTGAAAGCGAATTTCATATGGGTCTTCTATAATATTCTTAAATCTTAAATATGAAAAAATTAACCAAACTTTAAATTATGAACACATTTAAAAATTTTTAATACTTATAGAAGAAAAAAACTCAACAATTTTTAAGACTTATTTATAGTAAAAAACTAAAAATATTTTTCAAATTATACTATACATATAATATAATATATTTAAAATGTTAATAAAACAATTTAATTAAAATTTTAATGGTATTCATTTATGAACTAAAACAAAATAATTTTGTTATTATAAGATTGATTTGATCAAAAATAGGTTTTGTATAAAAATTTGGAATTTGAATATAAATTTTAAAGCATTTTTTATAAAAATTGTCGTTGGATACAAAATTAAAAATTAAAATATATATATACATTATTTTAGAATCAATACATTCATCGTTCGCTAATAGTCTAAAAAATTAGAGCCATAAAAAATGTTGAAATCTCATTTATCTCTATTCATATATTAATTGCCTGTGTTTAATTCTGAATTACAATAGAATAGTTAAGACCTGTACAGCCTCGTCATTTTTCGTACACTATAAAATATTAGAGTTTACGTTCAAGCCATAGATGTTCAGTAAAAAATTAGTGTAGGAATGGTTTTACGTCAGAATTTCACATACACATATAGTTTATAAAAATTCCAAGTCTATAGATTTATTTTCTGAATGAGATCAATACTGTTAAAATTTACTTAAATTTATATTATTTTTTTTACACACAATTTTAGTTTCAAGCTATATTTTATTTAGAACATTATCATATATATATTACATACTTATCATTTTATAGATTAGAATATTATAATAGTTATATAATTTGTTTTTAACATATTATTTATGATAAACGTTTATTAAATAAATAAACATTACTCAAAAATGACCACGGTAAATAATTATTGTAAAATTTTTAAATTTTGTATCCAAACTTGAGTTAATTTTGCTAATTTTAAGACATATTTTAATAAATTAGAACCATCGTGTGATTTATTTTATAAATTAAAATATCTATATTATTTTTAAGTATCTAAGTATAATGTAATTTGCTTTAATATAAAAATTAAATTTTTATATTAACTTAAAGTATTTTGAAACATAACATTGTTTTGTGCGTATACGTAACTAAAATGTTTATTGATACAACTTTATAACGAAAAATAATAAGCAAGCTCCAATTATCATTCACCCTAATAGTTATCGACTATCCCATCTGTATATTCGTGGAGTTTGTTTAAAATTTCAGTTGCCCTTTCCCCTTAGTTGTGTATATGTTGAAGAAACATGCCCCTGTACTATATTGTATTAAAAAAATAAAATAAAAAACAAAATCATGTTTTGTTTAACCTTGGTAACTGATAAGTAATATAATTTAGCTTCCACGTTGTATATAAAGAATGAAAAAAATTCAATGTTTTTTTGACCACAATCAACGATAATAATTTTAAGAACAATACCAATTGATTTAGAATAATATTTAATCTTTGAACTTATCTCACATATAGATTATGATTATATATAGTTATAAATATTATATACATTTCAACATAATATTGCGTATTGTATACAAAGAGAATACAGGAAGGTAGTAAGTATAATGCATTATACACCATTATTTATGAGTAATAATTTTGTAACTTATTTATTATTAGATCAAATGTAATAAACCATTATATTTTAACTACAAATGTATCTTATATTTCATAGCAGCTATACGTTTTAATAATTATGTACACTTCCTTTATTTATAAAAATATAGTAAAATTTGGATAAATATTATTATTTACATTTCTGATATAGCTTATTTATTTGATTTTAAATTCGAGAAGATTTAAAATTTAGATTACCTAGTAAAAGATACCTAGACTTAAAAATTGCTTTAATTTATGATAAGATTTTTAGTTTGAATCAAATTAGTAGGTATGTTCTTTACATGTTAAAGTGACGTCCTTTCTAACGCCCTACTTAAGGATCAATGTACGATATCAATAAACACCAATCGTTGCATTAGTAATGCATAATATAAAACAGATAATTATAAATTATGATTTTATGAATTTATGCAATTTAATTTAAACACTTACTTGGAAGTCACTAGAAAATTGTTTGTTGGAAAATTTAAAATTAAAAGAATTATAGGTTTTAAAAATTTGTAAGTTTTAATATTCTTAAATCCTTCGGTAATATGGTTATAGAAATCTACTATCTTCTAATTTTAATTATAAAATAATGTGTAATGATATTCCCATTGAAACTTTTTTTTTTTTAGTTATTACAGTTATAATAATAAACAACTATTCGATTCAGTAAATTAATTATTAAGTTTATCATAATTAACAAACCGAAAAAGTTATTCTGCTATACAGAAAGTGTCGAAAGTGTCAAGCGTATCTCATCATTAAGTAGGATGGTAGATCCTATAATTGATGTATTAGATTTTAATTTAATTATAATTCAATATATAATACGTATACGAAAAAACAAATCTCAGTAGAAACGGTATGTCAGCTTATATATCTGAGAATATTTTATCACCTATATCTTATTTATTTTATATTGTTATTAGTAATTAGATAGGTTGTACTTTTTTGTGTAAAAAAATTAATTTCATACATTTTATTATACATAATAATTATTTTATTATTTCGTATAATATATTACTAGCTGTTAATAATTATTACGTATAATTTAAATATAGTAGTTTGTGCAATATAAATTTACTGTAGAATGTTATTAGTAGGTTTTTCACATAAATATAATGAAATGAATCTAAATATTTTGTAAATGTAATTGCAATAATTATTGTTAATTATTTTAATTAAAATAATATATTGATAGTAACGATAATATAAATTCAAAATATTTAACTATAATATAAATTTAATTAATTTTATGATCACATTTCCAAAATATTATTTTGTAATTTCATTAGTGATGTCATTTTATTGATATATTCAATATATGTTTTAAACAATTTATATTTAGTACAATGATAAAATGTTATGAATATTATTTTATTATTTTATGTATGTGTCATAGTTATAATATTTTCAGAATTTTATTTGATATTTTATTTATGTTATTTTCATAATAATATTTTCCTAATGAAAAACTGACAATTATAAATTATTATTATTACGGAATGCTATCTGGGTGTGCACTGTGTATAGTGAATAAGTAAATAATATATGTGTAATGGAAATAAGTTTTAAATCCGAATAATATTTTTGAATTACAACAAAATAATTTAAGTCTTTATTCTTAGATTAAATATCAAATGTTGACAACATTTTAACTTCAAACGTTTATAAAAATAGTTTGTTTGTATACATTTTTATTAAAATATATTAACTGTTGTATAATAAGCAATTTATATATGTGAGTATTATATCTTAATCTTCTGTACTCGCAAATTATAATTTTATCATACATAAATATAAATCTACTTCAAATATCTATAAATAGCACAAAAGGAGCAAAAATATTTTGAAATATGTATAATGCCTAGAAAATGCTAATTTAAATATTTGGTGATGAATTCAAGTCTCTTCATACCTTTAAATTATATAAAAAAAACATTTTTTAGTTTTTGTCTCTTAAATAAGAACTATATTTAATTTATGACCAAAAACACTCTCAAAGTTAAAGATAAGAACGTTTTCTCTTCAATAAAAGCTGTTTTTAAATAAAAAAAATAAGAAATAGAAAAAAAAACGTAAATGTAAAATCAATACATTTATCACTCTACTCTGCAAGATCTAAAATATGAGATGTACAATTTAAGAAAATATTTTTAAAAAAAAGTCTTCAAATTAATAATTAAAAAAAAATAAGATAAATAATTGAGAGGATAATCACTATGCTGGGAGCAGAGGCTATAGGAACATTAGGAACATTCAATTTAAATTTTGGCGGATAACGCGATTTGAAATTTCACTAACGTTATTGTTATCATTTATTTCAAATCATGATTTAATATTTGGTGGGTACAAATTAATAAATAGGAAATTATTAATCTCGTATCATCTGCAACTAGTTGCAGCTAGTTGTGACCTCTAATTTCATGAGTATTAAATATTACATATCTACCGTGGACACCGATTATTGGTCAATAATTATACAAGAACACGTTTTAAGTTTTTATAAGATCATCTTAAATATTGGTGAATAAATAGCATTGATATATTTTTTTTTTATATATAGTATATTATAGTGCTTATGCTATAATAGACAAGGTTATCTACTCTCTCCACCCGCCAATGAAAATATGAAATCAAAAAATCTACGCTGCCTAAACAGAATATTTTTTATTGTTGATCAAAATTGTGTAGTAACGATGCCTATTTTTATTGACTGATTTTTGTATAAAAATACAAAAATATCCATAAATAGCATAAAGAAACTAAAATATTTGAAAATATATTATATCATATCTAAATGTTGATTGAAAATATGAATATATTTTGCAGAAACATCGTGTCTTTACATTCTACAGTTATTAATTATATAACATATATTTATTTATATTATATATTTATTACAACAAAATATCTATTAAAATCTATTTTTTCAAATTTGGTTTTATGTAAAAATTCCTAGTTTTTATTTATTTTAAAAAAAATGCGGTATTTTTTTACTTTTAACGTCCTATAGTATCCACTAATTCTAATTTTTTTTATTAGAAACTACCCTCAAAATTTAAAATAGAAAGGCCATGATAAACGCAAATAAACGCATATCATTGTGAAACCAATACATTTATTACTCCTCTCCTCGGAATTAAAAAAATTTACAAATGTATATTATGTTAGATATTTTTTTTAAAAAGTCGCTCTATGTACTTAAGTTAATATATATGTAGATAAAACTTGAATTTTTATTTTTTTTGTATATTTTATTATTTTTAAATTATAAAAGGTGTAGTCTTATACCTAAATTTAGCGTACTATGTATTTAGATTCTTATTAATCTAATATATATAAAGGGAATAATTAATGGGTGGTTTTTCAAAGGCCAGTGTCACTTTTCAGCCAAAACTTATAATTCCCTTTTCGACCAATATAGTTTTCTTTAAAATTTATAACAATAACAACTAAATTTAAAAACTGTTATATTTAATCATAAATTAGTATTAAACCTAAAAACAAACAACTCTGATTTATCTTTATTTCTAAAAAAAAACAACGTTAAATTTACGTAAAAAACTATAAACAAAGTAAAATTGGTCAAAAAAAAAAAATAGTTTTTTATTTTACTCTAAGGTAATATTTTAAAACATTTTATTACAAATTATTTTATTTTATTGTTTTTTCACACATAAATTTTTTAAACAAATATAGTATAATAATTATAATACACACGTATCATTGAATAATGTTGTTAAAATGTATTTAGTAAAATATTATGATAACGAGGCTCTATATCAAACAAATTATATTATTTTTTATTACAATTTTTTTGTCAGTTGAATAAAATAATAATAAACAGTTTCACCGTATAATAAATAATAATAACAATATGTTACTTATTGTTTCAATGATAGGTATATCCATATAATTAATTGTGTTCCCTAGCTCTAGGTACCTGTAATAATAACTAAATAACGTATTTATTATCAGACATAATCTCACTTAATAGTTAGCAATTTAATAGGTGTAATTAATATTTAAATTGCAATAACATAATACATTGTATACTATATAGGTATTTATAATTTATAAAACTTACAGTGGTAACTGGTAATAGCGAATTAGGTATAAATTAAAAACCAAATCACTGTTTGGAATACGTAGAGGGGATTTTTCTTGATAAACCTGAATGTATGCATCATGCCCGAGGTAAACATTAAATTTACATCAAGATATAAACATTAGTTAGGAACACGATTTTAGCGGCCATACACTGTCAAAATACTTTTATAATATTATCACCTTGATATTGACATTATTTAGATATTATGACATTCTATTATTTCTCGTTAATACTATTCAGTTTCAGTTTACATGCGACAACAGGTAAATATATTTATGTTCTTCAAATATAATTTTAAACAAAATTAACTTAACTGGAAAAACAATGATTTGATAGAGTTATTTTTATCAGTTTTAGCTGCGCAAAAGTCAAATCATAAATTCTTAGGATGTTTTTTGGAAGAAAATCTATCGACTTTTGGAGAAGAGAGCCGTGTTTTAACACCAATATCGCCTCAGGCTTGTTCCAAGTTTTGCTCTGGGAAAAAATATTTATTTTTTATTCTTAAAAATGAGTAAGTTTCCTTTTTTTATATTGTATTTTTAACTACAGTATGAATGTAAAAAAAAAAAGTTAAGCAAATACATTTATAACAAATTATTAAAAAAAATAACCAGTATGTAATTCTTCCAGGAATTGTTATTGCAGCAAAAATTATATATCAAAACTAATGAAACAGTTTGACTATGAGTGTACGATTAAATGCACAGGAGATGATTCGGCTTCGTGCGGAGGGAAACCAAATTTAGTGTCTTCATATATAACAGATAGTTCAAGTGAGTAAAAATAATTTATTTTGTGCATTCAAATATATAAAGTTTTAAACAATACATACAATTAGTTTTAACACAACAATTTTTTTTTCTGATAATATATCACAAGTTTTAACGTATAATATCAATCATATTTTGATTTTTATAAATAAATTAAATTAAATTAAAAATCATTAGGCCGGCATGCCAAAATATGCTTTTAAAAATATCATTTCATCTTGTGGCACACAAACATTTTTTTGCTGACATACTATTGAAACAAATTTTTGATGATATAATAAGTGAATATTTTTATTAAATATTTATAATGTATAAAGTACTTTAAATAAAATTGTTAACTTTTTAAAAATGGAAAAGGTACTATAAAATAAAAATTAAATTCGACTGTAGCCACATGACACTTTATATTTGCGCCTTAACAGTCTTTTTTTCAAATATTGTAATTTTTATACTTAACTTTCGTCATTATAATATGGCTATTTATGAAAACCCAATATTTTAATTAGTTCTTTGACTTTAAAATAATTCAAACTGTTCGCATTAATTTACTTTACAAAAACTGACGTCTATAATACAAACCTTTTAATTTTACAATAAATGCTTTTATTTTCTTGTTAGTTCTTTTTCAATAATCTGTTAAAATTTCTTATAATATTTACAAATACAATTTAACGTTAAATTGTATACAGGACATTTCGTAAATAAATTATAAATAAACGTAAATTGAAAATTATTTATTATAAAATATTTACTATTCTATCCACAATATTTATGATGAAAAGGGATAAAATATTTTTTAAGTTTAATGATGGGTACTTATTCTACTTAATCTTTGTTATAAATATTACACTTTTCTATATTGTATTTGAACTATATGATTAATATTTTATACTTCTGAAAGAATTTTTAGGTGTAACACCTAATTAAATTAAAATAATTTTTTCAAATATTTTAAAATATTTGCTATTACTATTTAGAAATATTTGGAGCCAAAGAACTTATAATTATGTTTTTTACTAAAAGTTTTTTAATTATATTTTACCATTTTTGACACACTATTAAGGAGGTATATTTATATAATGTTAAGAAGTTCTATAAACTTATAATATCATTTTTATTTATCGGGCATAAAATTTGTATGAACGAAATCATAAACTATAGCATTTTTAATTTTTAAAGTAGCTTCACACAAGATGTACATTTATAAGTTATAAATAACCTTTTATAAAATTACATTTAAAATATTTTAAGTATTAATAACTAAGTTCATTAAAAGTTTAAAATTGATTCCGAGTTAAAGTGAATAATTTAAACAAATGGTTATAGACATATTTTATTTTAATATTTTTAAATACTTTTATATTTTAAACGAAACGACGAGTAAATTGATTTTATAATTATGTGTGACGTGTATTATTTTTTTATTTTGTCTGTAATAATCTTTTTGGACTATAAAAATGCATACAATTTAAAGGAAGTGAGTGATAAAAAATCGGATTTTGTAAGTATATTATAATAAAATAAAAAGAAAAAAAAATTCCAGTACTTTTCAAAATAACCGAAAAAAACAAAAATCAAAATGAGAAAAAACATGAATTTTTTTATATATTATAATCAGCATTTGACAAAAATTAAATTTTTTTAATTTAACTCAAGAACGTTAAACTTTGAATACTTGAAATTTTCATTAAATGTGTGTATTAATATTTTCTAAATATGACTAAATTTTTTTTTTTTTTTTAAGCAATTTATAGAGATAAAATTTAGATTCCTTACAAGTGGTTCATTTACTAATTAAAAAATATCGAAAATATGAAGTCAAAACATTCTTTTTATTTTAAGTGATGATAATACATACAGTTTCTTAACTTTAATAAGTTATTTTTATTTAAAATTTTTTAATTATTTGTTCTTGCAAGAACTATGAGATTTTGTCTAATTCAAATTTTGTTTTACTAATTTCAGTTTCAAGCAACTTTATCGAACATGGTAGTTTTCCAATACCAATTTATTTAGGATGCTACTCTGAAAGTCCAAATGATGAAGAAAATCGTATATTAAAAGGGCCAGCTGGACCTTATAATAACAATACACCTCAAAAGTGCTTAGAAATATGTTTCAGGATGGGCTACTTATATTTTGGAAACACATATGGGTAAATAATTAATAATAAATCGTGTATAATAAAGATGAATGAAACTATTAAGTACAAATATAATATTTTTCATAATATAATTTATTTTTGAGGTAAGATTAAAACATTTTGCACTTGATTAATTTTTTAAATCTTGATAAATAAATAAACATCATACCTTTGTAAATATGTGTATTGGGTGTTAGCATTCATCAAGCAGCAGTTCAATAAAGGTTTATTAAAAAAATTCCACAAATATACCCGATACAAAAACAAATTTAATGCATGATATGTTATTTTTAAATTTTAAATAGTATACTTAAACAGCGCTTAAATCTATTTAACTAATATTTCATAACTAACTATTTTCTTTAGTTACAACATAAATAAATAAATAAATATCATTTAATGTGTAATTAAACGACGTTCGTTTCAAAATGCCGTGGTTGTAGACATTTTAAGCATTACAATTATTCAGGGGGGATACCTAATATTTAAAATTTTAAATCCATAACTCTGAAGTTTCTCAAACCATGTTAAATAATTTATTAGAATTACAATTAATTTTAATTCGTGTTTATAAAAATTAAATGTTACAATAACATCACGGATAGGAATCAGTTAATGGTGTTTAAATTTTATTAATCCATTCATGTTATTGTGATGATTAGATATTCATTATAAATTAAATGATGTAATCATTACCTTACACTAAGACTATTTTTAAAGAAGAATACATCAATATTTGACATATTATACTTACATTTTTTATTTTTAGATCTGAGTGTTGGTGTGGAAATCAAAAACCATCAAAATCCTCGAAAATAGAAGACATTAACTGTGATTCTCCTTGTAGTGGAGATAAAAATCAATTCTGTGGTGGTGGATGGAAAATGGGAATTTATTCAACTGGAATTACTGGTTATTAATAATTATTTTTTTAGATATTTTAATATCAAATAACATGTAAATAATATAATAACAGACTATGCAGCAAAACATTATGTTGGGTGCTACGATGCTTATGATGACGATGAGAACAAAACCAAAGAAAAGCGTTTAATATTTCAGATGGGAACAAATAATAGCCCTAAACGGTGTATGAATCTTTGTAATACTCAACGATTTAAATATGCTGCCGTTAAGGGGTAGGTTATGTATTCCGTTTTTTATAATTTATTTATGAAATATTATATATGTATGTAATCGTTTATAGTAATACCTGTGAATGTATAAATTCTGGACCAGATTTTCGTTTAAAAAGAAGTAATAGTGATTGTCATACTGTGTGCACAGAAAATCCAACAGAAAATTGTGGTGGTAGAAATGCATTCAGTATTTACAAAACAATATTTTCAGGTGTAATAAAATGAAAATTACATTAAAATTAATAATATAAGCTCGTATAATATTTATTAAAAAATCATAAAAATATAGATCCTCCGGGAAAACCGAATGTGAACCATATTGGATGCTTCAAAAATTTTAAAAGACATCCAATATTAAATGGTTGGGGAATAATGTCTTTTAACCTAACTCCTCATAGTTGTGTGCACAGTTGTTATGCGAGAAGGTTTCCGTATGCAGCGCTCATATCTTCGTAAGTAAATCAATTCAGATTTTTACTAAGTTAGAAAATTTTATTTCAAATACGAAATGTTTTATATCAAAAAAACATATCGCCATATTTCCGAAAAATTGTATTCATTATTATTTTGTACATATTTTATCAGTGTTAAAATTAAATAGAAATGAAAATTATTTATTTATATTTTTAATGGTCATACAAAAATTAAAATAATTAACTACAAACTTTTGCTATTTTCGTCATGTTTTTGGTTTAATTTATATGTATTTTGGATATAATAGAGAACATGATTGTAACCATCCATTACAATATTTTATATTATTTCGTTGATATTTTTTCCAGTTTTAAAACAACTTCAAAATATTTGAATGATTATACTTTTAAGCCTAGAGTCATGGGTATATCGTGCTTCAAGTGAACTTGTTATTATTTGCATATTATTCAAAACATGATTGTATTCATTTCAAATGTTGATGAGATTTTTGTATATTTATATTTTCCCTGTATTTTCTCTAAAGAAGCCTTTTTTGTCAATTACATATAAATTCTATTTGAGTAAAATAATTCATTATGTTATTAATAGCTTTCTAATTTATGTTACCAAATATTTTTAATAATATTTATTTTAGATCATTAAAAGACTAGGAAAATATTTTTATGATATAAGCTTCTGATCACAAAATTATCATTAAACAAGTATGTCTCTAAAATATTTCAGTAAAATTAAATAAGAATACCTTAACAATTTATTATTAACTTGAAATAATTGATTAGATAACTATACATGTCTTATACATTTATTTATTTTGAACTTTATTTAACTATAAAATTTCATGTTTTAACATTAGTTTTTACTGTTAAAAAATAATTTTGTGTGAAGGATTAATTATCTCTGATAACAAATTATCAGTATATCCTAGGATTCAAAAGTATTCGTCTTCTAAAGCTTGGTCAATATAGTTAAAAATAGTAATATATTATACAAATAAAATTCATTCAAAACATACTATTTATGGAATAAATAAATAAATCATAACATTTGAAGAATATAACGTAATTTGAAATTTATAATAAAATGACTTGTGAACAAAACACTCAAAAAAGAAATAATTAAATATTCTTACATAAATCATAAATGGCATAATTTATTTTGTAGAAAAGAATGTGTATGCAGTTTTATCAAACCTTCGGAAGAAGGTATGACTGAAGATAGTATGTGTAACAATCGTTGTTCTGGTTCATCTCAACATACATGTGGTGGTTATAATACGATAAACGTATACAATACTGGATTAGAATGGCGAACGAGTACGGTTGGAAATTATTATTTAGGTTGTTTTGAGGAAAGTCAAAACAACAGAATATTACATGGTTACTCGAAATCTTTTTCTGTGAATACCCCAGAATTTTGTTCAAACCTTTGTTACAAATTTGGGTATATGTATTCGGGCGTAACATACAAATCTGAATGTTTTTGTGGAAGCCAATCTCCAAACGAACCTAAGTTTCCTAAATTAGATGACAAACAATGCAACACTAAGTGTTCAGGTGATGCCAATCAATTTTGTGGTGGTGGCTGGAGAATGGGCGTTTTTGCTACTGGATTATATGGTAAATTTTAATGATGACTACCTAGTTATTATAAATATATATAAGTTATTTATAAAAAAATAAAGTATGTAGTATATAGTTCTTATTATTTAAGAACTGTTTTGTGTTTATATATTATTTATTATAATAATACGATATATATTTATTTAAATTATATTATTAATCTATAATAATATAAAATTCATACAATACTAAAAACTAAAAAATGTTTATTCGCATGTCATATAAACAAATAATTATTTGATTTTTATTCAAACAGATTTCCCAATTGAAGATCGATATATTGGTTGTTTTGTACTAGAAGAAATTTCATTAACTTACACAAAATTTGAACTTATCAACACTAATGTGCCTGGTAAATGTGCAGCAATTTGTCATAACGCTGGATATAAATTTTCAGGAGTTATGGGGTGATTTATATATTTTATTATTATATTTTTTTTTTTATTTAGTACGATTATTATTACCATTTTTTCTTTTATTATAGCCATATAGATAATCTCGTCCTATTTGTATCAAGATATCTCATCCAATCTTTTTGATTTGCTGTTACCTTCTTACGTTTCTGATTTCTTTCCCTTCGATTCTACAAAATTTAAAAAAAATCATTATTTTTTACAGTCTTCCTATATAAATCTAAGTCGTTATAGTCTATTAAAAGGCCTTTTAAAATTCATATTTATTTTTTTTTAGAACTTTTTTTAATTGTAGAATCTTATGACTTCCATGCATTCTCTATCTACGCTAACCTTTTCCTTTTAATTACATTCACAATATCAAACCACTTGAAAAATTCCTATAATTCAAAATTATGATATTATTAGCATTTAAAATATATTTTAATTGATTTTAATCTTTATCAATATTATTTTAGTATCAATTGTTTCTGTAATGACCATGCACCAGAAAATAATCAAAAAGGAGATGATACTAATTGTGATACAACTTGTGTTGGTGATTCAAGTAAAACGTGTGGTGGTGAAGATAGAATACAAGTATACGATCTCATAAGTAAACATTTCATTCAAAAATATAATAATTTCTAATAGTTTGATAAAATATATTAATTTTGATATATTGTTTAAAAATTAAAGAACAGATAAATGAAACTCCAACTGCAACTCCTGAAACAATACACTTTGATGACTCTTTTGAGTATCTAAACTTAAATTCAGCTTGGAGTCGTGATGTTTATATTCCACAAGAGCCAGTATGTAAAAAATTATTTTAATATAAAAATTTAAAAATATTTATATTAAAATATATATTAAGTAAAATTAACTATTATCTATTAAATCAAAGCAAGAATATTGAATAAAACAAAAATCATTTGTAATAATTAAATAGTTCCTATAAAATTGTTTAAAAAACTTTAAACACGGGATTTTTTTGGAATACATTTTACTTGTATGAGTGGTGCATATTATACTTATAATTTAAAAATAATTATGTACATAGAGGATAAGATTATATAAAACCAGACGTTAATCAGCACTACGTGTTTAGTTAAGTAGGTAAGTTTTTTTTTCGCTAACAAACTGTTACTTGTTACAATTCGGATTTTACTGCACAAAAAATTGTACAATATGTAGGTACAATATTTATACTTCATAAATCTTGAAATATATACTACCTATATTTTTATTATGAAAAAAGTTAAAAATATGCAAAATATCAATAACCATTATTCATTATAAATTAGATATCTATAATATATTATATTTTAAATTATTTAAAAAATAAAAGAAAACAATGAGTATTCATTTAATGGTTTTAAAAGCAGTAATACTATTCAAAATTATTTGAGAAACAAATATAAGTAAAAATGTCATCTGTATCTTCCATTAGTAAACTGAGATTTATAAAAAACCTAAAATAAATCTCTTTTTATATGCAAATTAACATAAATATATATAAGGCTAAAACTGGTGAAATAACTTTGAAAATTTAAAATTCAAAAAATAAAAAATCACTCATAAATTAATTTTATATATTGGTTTCTTTTTATTTGTATAAATCATATTATTCATGACACTTGATTTTCATTAAGAAATATGACTGATGCACTTATTTATGTAGTGAAATTACTTAAATCAATTATTTAACAGTTAAGTTCGTTCTTGATTACACGCATATATTGGATGTTTCTTTTATCATTGAACATTTATTATTTCAAAATTTATTAGCACTTTTGTAAATATTTTTATTAACCCTATTTCCAATCGGAATAAAACAATATTTTTACTTTTTTGGATGATAATATACATTTTTAATCTTATATTCTGAAGTAGAATATTTTTTGAATTATTTTGATACATAAAAATCGAAATTCGGAAGAGTTATTTTTTAATTATGAATTGTTAAAGTTATATTTGGTGAGCAGATTAGAAGAACAACATTTTTCGGAGATAATGCTGTAGACCACTTCACTACACTAACTTAATCTTTAAATACGTATAACTCATAAGCAACTTATCTAAATTTTGATATTTATACGAGTACATCTAAATACTCCAAAGAATATTCTACTTCGGAAAATGAAATTAATAATGTATATTATTCTAAAAAATAAAAAACCTAAGGAACTATAACGATAGACACAATCAAAAATAACTCTAGTAGCAAAGTACCCAATTAATTTACAGCCCTTTCACCTCCCTTAAATCGACCCCTAGCTGCTGATTGCTGATCAGTAATAACCAATGAATAATACATTTATTTGAGTCTCTCAAAAATAAACGTCAATAAATTGTATATAACAGGGGTGACCAAATGCGGCTCGCATATTATCGTTTTAAATATGATTTCATGTATTTATATTTTATAAGAAGTATAATATTTGATCAAATTTCAATTCATAGAAATAATTTATAAAAATAAAAATAGTGTTTTTGAAATAATATTTAAATATGTATTTATTTTTATTTTTTATTTTTATCTTGTATTGTTTCGAATTTTACACATTTTATTAAAATGTGTACCTAATTTTCTTCTTTACGATAATCATAATGAAGACATTAATATGAACTTTTTTATTTTCATTTTGGCACTTCCATATTTATTAATATATTAGGCGGCTTGCAAGTCTCTTCTTCCTGGCCACCCCTGATTTATAATATACTATAATGATGACATTCCATATAATTAAATACCTCTATGTACAAAAAACTCAAACTATATAATTGTAAAAAATACAGTATCAATACTCTATAGTATACGTACGTATATTATTTTTACATTCTATGTGATATTGATACAAGAAAAAAATAATTATTTATAAAAGCCATCAAATGCACTTAAATTATAATGCTAGTAAATATTAAATATATTTTCAAACCTACATTGTATTAAATTTTGGTAACAGGATTTTGAATTCGTTGTTTACAATAGTTCTGAACAGAACTCATTCGTAAAAAATGGAGAGCTAGTAATAAGACCTACAATTCAATCCGATAGTTTTATCAAGAGTGGTCACTTATCATTAGACGGGTACCTATATTTTTTTAAATACAATTATTAATTAATTATAAATGTCTTTTGAAAAAAAAAACTAACAGGTACCTATTTTAATTAATGTATTATTATAATTATTGTTTCTCTATTTTTAGTTGTACAAAAAATGTAACGCCTGATAGTTGTATGATGAATGCTATATCATTTAGTATAATACCTCCTGTAGTTTCAGCGAGACTCACCACAAAGAATAATTTTTTATTTCATTTCGGGCAAGTAGAAGTTATTGCTAAATTACCAATAGGAGATTGGATAGTTTCAGGTAAAAATAGTATTATAAAAACATTAATAAGGTACCTACCAATTTAAAATAATTTCAATAATATTGTATTAAATTTATGTTTTATAAATTACCTATTAGAAATAGCTTTGGTCAGTAAATCAAATGAATTAAATAGATTGGTATTAGCCAAATCAGTTGGAAACACCAATTTAAAGTGTAACGGAAGCGATGAAAGTGCATCTATCTTAAATTATGGATTGGAAATTGATGAACTATATCATGTCCAATCAAAAATGATGAAATTAAGATCGGCAAATACTTGGCACAATGACTATCATACATTCAAACTGTCTTGGTCTTCCGAAAATATGGTGTTTGAGATAGATGGCGAAAGTAGTCATGTAGATACGACGGATTTACCAATCAGCTACGTATTTGAATCCGAAGTAACTACACATAAAATACATTTAATTGTTATTATTTATTGCAATAATTTGAAATTCTACTTATTTGTATTATAGTATTTCTTTTCTGTTGGCGTGTCAGTTGGTGGTATGAATGATTTTCCTGACGGATGTCTGAGTAATGGCCATTTAAAACCGTGGACAAACTTTCATAATAAGGTTGATAGTTAAAATTATTATCCATGCTTGTTTTAAACAATATAAATAAAAATATAATTTACAGGTTTTAATCTATTTATTTTTTTTTTAACATTATAGGCTATGTTAAATTTCTGGAAGGACAGAAATCACTGGTCACCAACATGGAATGAAAACGAATCTGCATTACGAGTTAAAAAAGTAAAGATTACATTGTTAGAGAGTTAATATCAATTAATTTTAAATAAATCATGTAATGGAAAATTAACAACATTTTATTGTTTACATAAAAAATAAAATAAAACACATCATTCAATTTTGTTAGCAATAGTTTTGTTTTTGTTTTTTATAATAGTAACATTTTTATATTCTGAACGAAATGATAAATGTATTGATTTTATAATATTGTGTTTATTTAAGTTTTAATTATTTTGTCTGTTATAACACATTTTAATGCAGAAAAAACTCTTTGGTTTTCAATTTTGAGAATAATTTTTGGTAGCATTTCGTAGTATGAGTGTGTGTGTGTGTGGGGGGGGGGTAGTTTTCAACACTTATTTCCTTCATTATAAATTTTGAGCGGAGTAATAAATGTATTGATTTGTAATGTGTTTTATTTTGTATGTGTTTATACACGATAGGTAGTCAAAATTAAAAACTCCCAGAGATACCTATTCAAAGTAATCAGGTGAAAAAATGTTTAAGAGAAATAAGTTTTTAACAAAATAGATTTTCTTATTTTATTATAATTGAAAAAAAACAAACAACTGTAGATATTTTAAATTTTTATCAAATATTTAAATTAGCATTTTATAATTTTTATAATTAGCATAATATTAAAATCTTTTTTTTTTAAATCTTTTTATAATTGAGAAAAAAGAATTAAGATAAAACACAAGAATTTTTACTCAAATCCATTTTTTAGTAAAATTGATTTTGTTTTTTGGTATAACTAAAAAACAATATAGGTACCGTAGATATTTGAGATTTTCATCAAATATTTATAATATTATTTTCATATACTTACCAAATGAAATCAACTAAACATGAATACACATATTATAATAATGGGTGTTTTACTTAGATGTACTTTGTATATATTTACTTACCTATATAAATCTTAAACAAATCATCCTATCGAAGCAGTGACATTATCAACATTGTGGTAAATTCTATTATTTCATTAATCTATGACCTTATGGTTTATCTACTTCATGAGTAACGATGTCTTTTATTGTTATTGTTTTACACTTGGCCAGTTTGTGAATTGAACTCTTGTGGCTAATTCAGTAGCCAGTAGATGCATTACCGACAACTGACATATATTACCCAAGTACAATGTTTCAATTTTCAGTGACATTTTCTTAATGAAGCATAAAATAGGTCTGACCATAATGTAGATATCAATACTTTGACCAAGTATGGTTTTTCTGTCAAATTTTTATCATCACAATGAACGTCGATTCTGGCTTGTATAAAGATAGTAGACAGTTGTCCACAACAATGGCGCTATCTTTGGCTTTTACATTACAGGGACCTAACTTAAGCAAATGCATTTCTTAAAACCTATAGTCACCCTACAGAACAGATCTACAGACGCTCATATTTTAACAACGATAGTGGCATAAGCTTAATTGGAGATTGATGCCGTTAGGCAGGCTGATGGCTACAAATCCGATTGTAACTTACTCGTTCCAAGTCATATGAGTACACTAATATAATTCAAGCGAAAAGTATTTGTGAAAATGTTAAAGCTCGTTAATGAAAAAAAGTATTTCAATTATTTTTGAAAAAATACTATAGAATTTAAGTAGACATTGTTTATGATTAATAAAAATATAAAAAGTACAAAAAAACTATCATGCAACCTATTAATAAATGAGATTTTAGAAAATAAAAATTATTTTTTCATAACTAAAACAAAAGTGTTAGTATAACTATAAAATTTGATTGCACTAACACCATTACAATAAAGATAATTATAATTAAATTTTCATGAGCATATAATTTAAGTGAGTTGTGTATAGGTTATAAATATATATTTTTGTAATTCATAAATGTTAAAAATGAATAACAAGTTAAAACTTAGAATAGTGTTACCTCATACCAACTACTACAAATAACCTTGTTTTTATAATCATTTGTAATTAAATATAAAAAAAAAAAAAAAAATGTAAAAAAGTAAGATTTTAATTTAAAAATTTTAAAAGTAGACTACATATACTATTGAAGTGAGTTGTACCTAATTTTCAATTAGTTCTCATTGTTCTTAGATAGAAACTAGTTAGGTTGCATTAAAAAAAAGGATATAACATATTATGCAAACATGAAGCTACTAATACATATATATAAAAACAAGGCAATGATTATTTACAAATAATTATTTTATGACCAAATAAATCCACTAATATATAATATATGTATATTTAATTATAAACCAATATCTCATTTTTAAAAAGCTAAATCTAGTTTGAAAGATTTTAGAAAAAAAAAATAATAATAAATATATTCCTAAAATGTCACAAAACATTTCTTAAATTTAGATACTAATATTTAAAGGTTCACACACTAAATCTAAATTAGATGTTTATAAATTAGAATCTTCATCATCTTCATCGTCACTTACATGCTTCTTTTTTTTTCGTCGGTTAGATGTTCTAACTTCAGACCCTTTACCACGAGGTTTCATTTTCAGTTTCAATTTCACTGAAGATGAAGTAGTATCAGCATCTGAAACCTCATCCTCACCTAAAACATTAAATACAAATTTTTTCTAGTAAATTATTTTAAATTAAAAACATAAAATAATTCCATTAAGTTTATAAATCATTATAATTAAGAGAAAGTTGTATCATATGCATTGTCTTTGTATTACACATGTATAACATAATAGAGCAAAACTAAATATCAAATTCTTACTAAAGTTTATTAAAGCAAATGTATATATTACTTAATTTGTAGAAGAAATACAATCTGTGTATATGAGCAGATTTTTTTTTCATATTTTTATATTAAAATAAATGAAAAATAAAATTTTTCACTTGATAAAATTAATATTACCCTTTACAAACCTTATAATAAGTAATTTTTTATATTATTTTCAATAAATAAATTGTAATAAGAATCCATTACATATATTTGGTTTGTTTTACACATGTAGATTAGACGTCCACTAAATAATAAATAATTATATTATATGAAATACTAATATTGCTCAATTCTACTATTAAGAATTATAGCATTACTTTTTGTTCCTTCTTCTGGTCCAGATTCTGGAATATCAGTTGATTCTAATCGTTGACGAGAATTTGTGAAAACCGATTGTAAAACTATTGAATCTTCATGAATAAGTGAAGCTTCTTCATTATATATTTGTGCATTTTTACACAATTGTACAAAGTCAGCTTCAAGTTCATTCAAATCTGCATACTAAATTTTAATAAATAAAACAAAAATGTAAATAGCTGGTTTATAGTTATTATACTCTTAACTATAACATTCTTAAAATGTTAATCCAATTAAAATAATACCTTTCCGTCATCAATTTTTGCCATAATCTTTTTAATATCCATAGGTTTTTTTATTACTTCATAGTAGTCAGGTAATTTGTGTCTAGATGGTAATTTCATAAATGGTTCACTTAATATTCTGGAATCAGCATCTGTATATTTTACTACAATGTTCATGATAGTTTTCATTTTTTTTCGTAGCTTTATTTCTTCAGGTCCAATTGTTTTACGCCGTCTAATTGGTGGATCATCATCATCATCTGCATTTCTTTTACCTCTTTTCTTACCCCGGTTTCCTTTACGATTTGATTTTATTTCTTCTTCTTCATCATCTTCAAAGTCGTCAACATTTTCATCAATCGCCTTCAACCATTCTTTCTCAGTCAAACTATCAGTGTAATCTACTTCTTTACGAGCACGGGAACCACGTCCCATAATTTCTTCAGAATCTTCTTCATATGTCCACCTCTCAACCTTAAAAATAATGTTCGATTATAATTAATTATTTTAATATTTTAATAATAATAAAAATAATACCTCATCTTCATCCTTAACAAGCCATTCAGGTAATTCTGATATTTCAATTAATCTCGATTTTCTATTTGGACCAAATTTGGCCTCTTCTCTTCTACGTTCAAGATCCATTTTTTGGAATGATTCAAATTCTTCTACTGATCGAGCTATCATCTGGTTGACAACTTCATCATCAGGTACTTCATTTTCTTCCTAAAAATATGAAATAAAAAAATAATATTAAATATTTCATTTGCAAACATTAGAATTATTAAAAAATTTACTTCATCATCTCCATCATCTTGATGTAGAATAGATTGCAAAAATTGTTGACGCTCTGATCCAGTTGATTTTTGATCAAACATACCAGCCTGGATAACTTTTTCATCCATATTTAATTTGTATCTGGCAGCAGCTAATATACGCTCTTCAACTGAATTTACAGTCATTAAACGAAGAACGCGTACTTCATTTTGTTGACCAATACGATGAGCACGATCTTGAGCTTGCAAATCCTATGGATAGGAAATATAAGCGAAAAGTTATAAGACACAGTCATAAGTGATTTATAAAATAATTATTACTTGATGTGGATTCCAATCAGAATCAAATATAATAACAGTATCAGCGGCTTGTAGATTTAATCCAAGACCACCTGCTCTTGTACTTAATAAAAATAGGAAATATTCACTGCCTGCACTATTGAACTTCTTTAAAAGATCTCCTCTATCTTCAGCTTTAGTAGTACCATCTAAACGCAAATATGCAAAACCTCGCCATCCTAAATAATCTTCCATAATGGTCATAAGTTGGGTCATTTGACAAAACAGTAATACTCTATGATTGGTAGCTTTGAGTTTGGGTAAAATTCGATCCAATAACTCAAATTTTCCTGACACTCTGTATAAATCTGGCCTATGAATGAATAAATAAAAATTTTTAAATATAATTAATTAGCAAATACTGAATATAAATATTCTGATTCATTATTTAAATTACCCTTGAACAACATTTCCAGCAGTTCCAATATGTTCGCAATATTTTTCCTCGATACTTTGGAACATAAATGGATGATTGCACAGTTTACGCAATTGTACAATAGTATTCATGAGAGCTTTGGCACCACCTTTACCTTGTTTTCCCTTTTCAGCGCCATCAGTGAGTAATACACCTTTACTCTGCATATGTTTGTACAATACCCGTTGCAATCCAGACATATCACATTTGACAATGTATTCCACTTTATCAGGTAATTGTGATTCGACTTCTTTTTTTAGACGCCTCAACAAAAATGGACGTAAAACTTTATGAAGACGGCGGATAATTAAAATAGTTTCTTCTTCATTTAATTCAACCTAAAAATAATCAAAATAGAAAATAATAAAAAAATTTCACACATAAATTATTAATTATTTTAATTTAAATACCTTTTCTCCAGTAGTAGCAAATGGTGCATTAAACCATTGTTCAAATGTTGAACATGACTTAAATATCGATGGCAACAAAAAATTAAGAAGAGCCCAAAGTTCAGGGAGTTTATTTTGTAAAGGTGTACCAGTTAATAATAAACGGTGTGGAGCATTATAATGAGTGTTCAAGACTTGTGTCAATTTACAATGATGATTTTTCATACGATGACCTTCATCTATAATCATGTACTTCCAATGAAGCTAAAAATATATTAATTTAGTTATTTACATAATTTACTACGTAATTAGTGTTTTTTTGAATTTAAAATAAAAAAATATGAAATAAATAATTACTTACTTTTGCAAGAACTGATTTATCTTTTATAACATATTCATATGTAGTTAATAAGACATTAAACTTATTAGATCGCATTTGTGTCTGTAAATTTCGTCGCATAGTTGGAGAGCCTTTATAAGCTACAACAAAAACTGATGGAGACCATTTTTCAAATTCTAATACCCAATTTGACATTGTACTAAAATTTAAAAAAAAAAAAAAAAATGTAATTCATCTCAAATGTTTAAGAAGACGTCGTACCCGCATATGTTGTCTCCGTCTTACAAATGCGTAACATGGCAAATAGTACTCTCAGAAGATCACGTTTAACTCCTTCAGCTTGAAAATTAGAATGAATTGACCTCTTTTGAAATTTAAAAGTGAGATTATTATCTAGGGCATCTCATAGGCTTTTTATTATATTTTAATTTTAAAGCGAGTTATGTGTGTTTTAAGACGTGCAAGCAATTTACAATTTTAAAATACTCATAACTTACTTTAAAATTAAAATATAATAAAAAGCCTATGAGATGCCCTAGATAATAATCTCACTTTTAAACTTCAAAAGAGGTCAATTCACTCTAATTTTCAATTTAAAGGAGTTAATCGTGATCTTCTGAACGTAATATTTGCTATGTTACGCATTTGTAAGACGGAGATAATATATGCGGGTACGACGTCCTCTTAAGTATCAAGTATATTGAAATTCGATAAAAATATCAAGAAAATAAATATTTCAGTATGATTCAGATATTATTTTAAAATTTATAATAGGTTCTATACAAGGATATCACACAAGTATTAATGATATATTTTAATTCAACATTTTGCAATAAAATATTTGGAACACATAGTGAGTATCTATCTAATGTATTAAGTACTGAATATAACAACATATTTTACAGATTATAACAGTATTATTAGAATGAAAACTTAAAAATATAACCTTGCTAAGTAGTAGGAATATGTATTTTAATTAAAACATTTTTGAGATCTAACTTTCTAAATATAATAACTAAATTATTAAATAATAAAAAAAAAAATTAATTATTTAAATTCTGTAAGTTTAATTATATATATTATATAATACTAATAATATAATTAAATCATAAATAATATGGGTATATAATAAAATGTATTTATTTATTTAAATTTAACTTCTATATATATCAAAGTTTCTAATACTTACGACAGTGGCACAATGATTAAAAAAGGTCCATTTACTTTCTTTTTTTCCATAAGGTGAGTAATAAGACCTATTGTTTGGATGGTTTTTCCTAAACCCATCTCATCAGCAAGAATTCCATTTAAATTATTGTTAAACAATGAAACTAACCATTCAAGTCCCTACACAATAAAACAAAATTAAAGTTAAATACATTTTGTTTTTAAATTAATAACAATTAACAAATAGCATTACCTTTATTTGATATTCTTTCAGATTACCATTAACTAAAATGGAAGCTTGTTCAGTAACACTTTCATGAATAGTATGAGCGATACTGAAAAAAAAAAAAATATATGAAAATTGTGACTAGTTTATTCATAAAATTTTTCTTTTATATTTTCTAACCTATAATAAGTATGTTCTTCTGAAGCATTTTTATATTCATCATCTTCCATTTTGGTTTTTTTAATTGGTTCTTTATCTTCAGTAGTTTCTTTTTCAAAACTATTCTTTTTGATTTTTTGATTGCTTGATTCATCATCTTCTTGTTCATCATCATCTTCATCATCAGACTCTTCCATTACTTCCCAACCAGGATGAGCATCCAACCAATTGTTCAATTGGGACGCAAGTGGAGCTTCTTCTCCTTTAAACATTCTTCCTATAATAAAAATCAAAGTAAAAAATTAGAAAATGTAAAATAAAAATATATGTATATATGTTTTAACCTGTAGAAGGTTCATATACTGAAACGTGCATGTCTGATTGCTGAGAACTTTCATCATGATCCTCGGGTCCATCACTCTATTTATTGATAGAGAAATAAGTAATTAATTATTAGAATAATTTGAAATTTATTTGGTACTTAATATAAACTTACCTTCTTCTTCTTTTTTTGTTCTTCTTGTTGCTTACGCTTCTGTTCTAATTTATGTTCTTTGACCATCTCTGTTAGATTTCCAATATACTCATCAGTTTGCGAGAGTAAGAAAGCCAAACGTTTATCTTTCTTTTGATCAATCAATTTTCTACAAAAATAAATTAAATGTTTATATAGTTTTAAAACTATGTATTTAAATGCATAAAACAAAAATAAAATGAGTTATACCTATAGCCTTCTTCATCTTCAGCCATTAATCTTCTCATACGTTCTTTTTCAATTCTTTCTTGTTCTTTCTTTTGTTCACGTTCAGCATTAGCATGATAATTAAGAACAGCTTTATTAAGCCGTCCAATTTTTGCAATGTTATTTCTATGAAACTCTTTAAGATCTTTGCAATGTTGTAATATAGTACTAAGATATTCTTGATGTTTTTGGCGTTTTTTTCTTTCAGCTTCCAACTTCTGTTGTTTTTCTAATTTTTCCGTAGCTCTAGCTTCTCTTAGACCTTGTCTTTTTGTTCGTTTGTATGCTTTTACATTAACAGCAGTTTCTAAAGTAGTATCACGGCGAGTACAAGCAACTACTTCAGCTCTCAATTGTCTTTGGAAATTTAATACTCTTAGAGCTCTAAGTTCAATTTCTACTTTGATTCTTAGATCATCACTCATTGTCGTTGGCAAATTACTCAATTGTTGTACACGATGAGCAATACGTGCAGCCAAACGGTTTTCACGTTCTTGTAATATTATTAAAGGATCCAAACCGACAGGTTTAGGGCATGATGTAGTTCTATTTTGTTTAACTGGAGGAGGAGGACCCTGTGTTTGTTGCTGTTGTTGAGGGGGCTGCTGTTGTTGTTGTGGTTGTTGTTGTTGTTGCTGCTGTGGCTGTGGCTGTGGTTGTGGTTGCTGCTGCTGTTGTTGGGGTAATGATTGTTGTGGCGATGGTCCATTTGTTGTAGGCATGTTAGGCATATGTGGTGGTATACCAGCCATTGGTTGTGGACCACCCATCATAGGCTGAGGGACTCCTCCAATAGGTGGTTGACCTACAGGTTGAGGGGTATTTATTTGCTGTGAAGCTTGAGGTATTCCTGGAGCCATATTAGGAGGTGGTTGAGGTCCATTCATTGATACAGATGGAGGTGGGTTTGGTGGTGGACCTTGAGAATGTTGGGCATTTGGAGGAGGTTGAATTTGTGTTTGTGGAGTAGAACCTGGCTGAGGCATTCGAACAGGAGATTGTGAAATAGGACCAGGAGGATTAGGTTGTCTCGGAGCATTTTGCATTGGCATTGGTAATCTCATTGGACCTCCTGAAGGCATTGGCATACTGCTTTCTACAATTTCTCCAGGTTCTAGTTGTCGATGGTGTGCTGAAGGTAAAGGAGGATATCCTTGAGGTGAAGTTTTTCCTTGAACAGCCATAGCTAATTGTTGGGTTAAAGGTTGTTGTCGAGCCAATAGTCTATATGCCATTATCTGAACTCTAAGCTGCTGCATTTGAGCAGGAGTTAAATTATTTTGGGCTACTGGTCCATTTGGTCCATTAGGATTTGGGGAATTTTGTTGAGGCGAAGGTGGTTTATCAGGATGTTGAGGAGGATAATTTCCCTAAATTAAATTATATTATTATTAAATTACTAATAAACATTTAAATTGGATAGTAATTAAAAAGTTAAAATTAATAATGATTAACTCACTTGCATTGAAGAAGGAGGTCTTTGATTTGGGTCCATATTACCTTGTCTTGCTCTTAGTGCCAATAATTGTGAATACCTGGGATCTTCTTGTAACCCCTTTTCTTCCATTGAATCTATTGCTCTTTGTAGTGCAATTAAATTTTCTTGAGGAGGTCCACTAGGCTATAAACACATATTTAATACAAAAATATTAGTTACTGATTTTTAAGAAAAGCTATAAATTATATCAAAAACTATAAAAAAAATTAATAATAAAACTAAACTGTTGTGTAACACACTGCAAACAACTTAATATATTTTATTAATATTTTACTAAGTAATACTTAGTTGTATGTTTCAATAGATTTTTAATACCAAATTTTAATATATTTATACACCATAATAAAATATTTTAAGATATATTTCTCAAAAATAAAGAATAACACAATTAGCTATTTTTAGTATAACCAATTTGCTTCTCTAAAAATATACAATTTAATTAGTGTTAATGTATGAACCATAATTTTTTTTAAAGATTCCTTATCTATTGAATAAATAAATAATAAAATGGTGATGGCATGTCTTCTGTTACCAACACAATTTACCCACCAAAAATTTTAAATAAGTAAATGCATATTCATCAATAGGATAAACTGAGCTTAAATTTGTTTTATTTTAAATATGTATGAGTTAATTTTTTTTTAAATTAAATGTTGTATTATAATATTATACTTAAGACAAAGTTAAAACATTAAAATTAATTTAAAATTATAATATTATACTATATAATTAAATAAATATAATGTATTCAAAAAATAAGAATGTATAAGTAAGCTATGTTATATAGATAAAATTAAAATTAATGCTTATAAGTTATAAGCTAATGATCCATGTTGTCAAATCTTAAGATAAAATATAAAAAAAATAAATAAATAACTGCCTATGTAGTACACAGCAAACAAACTATTTCATTAGTACTTTTTTATTTGTAACTTTGGTCACACTATACAAGGATTTTAATATGTTACATTGTTTTTAATGATAAGAAATTATTATAATTTATTGCGTAGACAACTTTGTGAAAGTTAAAATTTTCAAATCAAATTTTATAACCATTAAATTATTAATTCCAAACATAAAACTATGGTTGATATTCATCAATATTATAGTCATGCACTTAAAATTGTTTTGGAGGCAGGCGAAGTAAGTTTTATAAAATGTTTTATAATGTAAAAATTTATTTTAATATTCAGCATATCTTTTTTAGATATTGTTAAAAGGTTTTAAAAGCCCTAAAGAAATATCAACTAAAAAAAATGAAAAGGATTTTGTAACACAATATGACAAACTTATTGAAAAAACAATAATTGACAACATACTTCAACTATACCCAGATCATAAGTATTGGAAATTTGATCATTAAATATAAAAATTATTAATAATATAATTAAATATATAAAAAAAATATGCATAGATTTATTGCAGAAGAAAGTGCTGCAAATATAATTTTAACCAAAGAGCCTACGTGGATAATTGATCCAATTGATGGAACAACTAATTTTATACAAGGATTTCCATTTTGTTGTATTTCATTAGCATTGGCAGTAGAAAATGAAATAAAAATAGGAATAGTTTTTAATCCGATAATAAATCAATTATTTACTGCTCAAAAAGGGGAAGGTGCATATTTGAATAATGAAAAAATACAAGTGTCATGCACTGAAGGTAATCAAAATAAATAAGACAACACTTTAGTTAATTTAGATTTTTAACTATAAATATATAATAATTTGTGTATATAACTATGAATTAAAAATGTGAAGTAATAGATAATAATATTTTTTTTTTGCACATGAAATATTGAAATCTTATATTGTACAATTCAAATGATGAAATATTTATTGGATGGATGCAATTCCTATATTTGTTATCTCTGTTTTCAAGGTCAGGATAGAGTTCTTAGTTTATATATTTTATTTTTTTAATTTAATATGAATGAATTGACCTACAAATTTGAAAATTTCATCGGTGTTCTTGTATTTTTTATTTTGTAATTAAAGATGTGTTTTTAAAATATCTAATATACAAATAACTTTTTTTAAAAAACATAAAATTAAAAACCTCTGGGAGCTGGATAATGTTATACCATAACCTTTAAATTTAATGCTATGTCTATTTTAATATTTGAATTAATGAAATTAAATAAAAACAACTTAATATTAATCTGTAAAGGTATGCACTTGTAAAAAAAAAAAAATATGGATTTATAAATATTGTTATCTTAATCAATATAATACTCTATACGAGAATGTTTAAGTAGTTTTAAAATCATTCATCCATCAAAATATGTTTTAATTTTTTCCAAAAACAACAGAATACATAGAATAAAAAGATTGGTATTATTTATTTTATTTTCAGATCTTAATAAAGCTATGCTTGTTGAAGGAATATTTACTAAAATTAGTTTGAAGAATTTACGTGGGTAAATATGAATTTTAAATCAAAGGTTAAAATAATTTAGTGAGTAACTTTTTTATCATTTTGGGATTTAAATTGAAAACTTTTAAGTTTCTTGTTATATTTCAATCCATACCTGGATGGAGATCAAAATGCATCTATACTAGCACATATCCCACCAATTTGATATACCGTTAACATTGGCATAGGTCAACATTGATCATGCCATTAACCTATGTTTGTTTAGGGTTTTTTCATGATCAGGTGCATACAAATTTTACTAAAATAATTAAGATGGATTCAATTTTGTTTAAATATTGCTATTTAAAATGTGTGAATATTAAACATATTTTTATACTTAATAGATCAAGAGTTTTAGGGTCAGCAGCAATAAGTTTATGCTATTTGGCAATGGGAGCAGCAGATATATGTTATGTTAAATATTTAAAATGTTGGGATGTAGCAGCAGGAATTCTGATTATCCAAGAAGCTGGAGGCATTGTACTTGATTCAACAGGTAAAAATTCTATTAAAAATACAATACAAATCTAATTTTTAATAAAAAATATGAAAACCTATACCTAAAACAATTTTTTTAGGAGGTGAATATAAGGATATAATGAATGCTGATATCCTTGCTGCTTGTACCAGAAAACTAGCCAATAATTTTTTGAAATTAAAAAATGATAATTTTTAATAAATAATTTCAATCTCAATTTCAATGAAGTAATAAAATACAGAATATTCATTATTATTTGAGATGTAACATTAAAACCCTCTACTTTAAAGGTAATTTAAATAGCTTTAAATAATAAGTGAAAACCATTAAAATTATGTGAAATGTAATCCATTACCAAATCAATATGAACAATATTTAAATGAAAAACTGTAAATTGCTGTAAATTTTAAAGAAATTACAATAAAAAAATCTAGTAATTGTTATAAATTTAAAATAATGTGAATAAAATTATCATAACTATTATCAGCTATCCAAGTTTTCAGATTCTTAAAGCTTTATACATTGATTATCACTTTTGGTTAACTCCTAATATTTAAGATACAATATTTATCATTATTAGTAAGATTCAGACATTTGTTACTTTTGCATATTTTTTAATTATAGCTGTAGAATAATCAAATTAAAGTATGAATTTCTTTTCAGATATAATGATCATAAATGTAAAAATGTACACTGCATAATTTTGCATGTGTTTAAAATAAACACATAAATATTTGACAAATATCAATTCATTTGTAATTTTAGTATATTTGTACATTTTATTTTAAGTAAACATAAGTCATAGCAAGTGTATTTTTATTTTCTTGACAAGGCTTTGCACAGTACTTTATACCAAAAAATATCTTATTATTTAAATATATGGGGGTATTTATTTTAATTAATAGTTAGGATAACGTTACTAATTAACTAATTAAATATAATATGATAACCTACCTATCAAAATAAACATTTTAAATTGTAGGTAATGTAATAGAAGTTGATAAGATTGATAACTATCATAATGTAAAAATACTTATAATATCAAGTAAAATGTTTTAAAAGTTCATCTTATTCTAAATGTGTAGTTTGTTGCTTAAAAGAATATTTTGTTATCAATGTAAATTGATTGAAGTTATTATTTTTTGTTTATATGCCTATCTATGAGGTAAGATGTGTAAACTAAATGATATATTTTTTTTTTGTTATAATGTTGTTCTAATGTCCATACTGAATTAATAAGGATCTATGTTGAACTAATTAGATACAACAAATGTCATATTATCTAATACCTACTGTATTCTTATGACTTACATTAGGCTATCAGACTTGATTTTTACTTAGATACTGCAACCTATCAACTTACTAAATTTGTTTTCAAACAAAAAACACCGATAAATCAAATTTCTATGAAATGTTTCTAAAACATTTCCAGATACCTAATAAATAGATTTTAATGGAAACATATAACTACTTATTTTAAAACAATAGTCATGTACTGAGTAGTTGGAATTGGAATATACTTGAATGCCTGGAGGTGGAAATGTCTGTGTGCCCTGCTGCATGTTAGGCGACGCCGGTGCACCTGGCTGGCCCGGGGAATAATTTTGTGGCGGCAACGGCTGAGGAGCGGTGGGCGGCTGTTGTACTTGTGGCGGCTGCTGTTGTGGTTGTTGTTGTTGTTGCTGCTGTTGTTGGTGTTGTTGTTGTGGTTGTGTCGGAGTCGGCGGTTGATGGTTGGGCCCCGGAGGTCCCATCGAATTAGGCGAGGGGCTGGCCATTTCCGAAAGCACCTAAAAATGCCGAAAAATTTAACTATCCGAACGGAGAACACACCAAACTATTGCACGAAAAATAATAACATAATATAATTGACATTAATATTTTTACCCAAAGCCTCTAAGGAACGCGAATTTAATTCACCGTCGAAACCTAACAAAATCAATAGAAAACAAAACTTGATTGAAGATAAAAAAAAAAGTCAATCGTGAAAAGTACTGCATAAGTGTATAATGTATACCGACTATACTGCAAACGAACTCAGTGACACGATAAACAAAACACAAATCCAGTGTAACCGTTCAGCTACATTAAACTGTTTTTGTCGTCGACATACCGACAACACTGGTTTATAACTATGGATTACATTTTTAAGCTTGGTCTTATTTTAAGGCGCAACGGAATTTCGCTACATGTCTATAAAATTGCCTATCTAAAATTTAGCTTGGCGCTACATCATTCGGTAAACAAATTAAAAAATACCTGTCTTCTTAAAATATTTTGTTATTAGCAATAAATAGAATAGTGTTTTTATTAAATAAGTACTTATGCGATTGAACTTTGTTTATATATTAAGTTTTTGCAGAACTATATAAAAATAATATAAATTGAAATTACCTATATAACCATTATAATCAATTGGCAATTTTAATGAAAAAACTGAAGTGTTGATTCCTGTATTTTTACGGTTACTTGACTGATTGATCAAAGATACCAGTAAGGAACTGAAGAACTACGTTTCTCACAAATTTTTCAATCTATTAATTAAATATGATTGTATAATAATGGCTTTATACTGCACATAATCATTTATTAATATAAAATAACTATTATTACTCATAAGTAACATGGATTACGATTTACGGAAGTGCTAAGCACACATAAAATACACTCCTAAATTGTAATTATGGGATATTGGTATTATTTTCTATGGCTACAACTATATGTATAGCATTTGAAAAATAATATTATCAGTGAAATATTTTAATGAAGGGTACTATCAAACGGGTATTACCATTCGAATGTTTTTACGTAACTGAACAGTTTAATAGTAGTATTTAGTAGTGTATGTGTATAAACTCAAATAATCTCAACTAAATTCTAATTATTCAATAAATACTATGAAAAAGTTAAATGAATAGCTCCCAAAGTATATGTATTAATTGGAAAAAAAAGCATATAAAGGGATTTTAACCTTAAAATATTCAATTTTCTTTTTACTTTAAGATAAAATATGTAAATTTAGATCAATTGCAGAATCCCTATTTTAACTTCGGATGAAAACCCAATATTAATTCAAATAATTGTGAATAAATAACTTGTAAGTTTCATCCAAAACATAAGAATAGATAAAATAAATTCAAGTTAAATGTTAAGAATATTTTTTTATTGTTGCCATAGTTATTAAATAATGTACAGTGCACTTAAAAATAAATAAAATATAAAAAAATTGAATAAATACAAAAAAAAATATTATTTTTTTCACACAAAAATATTGATGAGCATAATTAAATATTTATAGTTAAATATAGTTATAGTTATAATTTAATTTAATCTTATATACCTACGCTATGTTATACTACTTTTCAAAAATCACCTAATTTATTTAGTTATTAACATTTGTCTAAATTTTAATTTTACATATCTGTACAATATTATACTATATGTATACAATGGTTGTTTATTATGCGTTACGTCAAATAAAATAATATTTTTTCATATAACTTGACAGAAATTCAGAATTTGGGCTGGTATCACCAGCTCAGTTTTGTAAAGAGAATTTCCCGTTTCCGGTTAACAGTAGGTATAATAAATTCTTGTGGGTAATCATGTTGGACAGTGGTCTAAGTTCATAACTAATGGAACTTTAAACTTTGCAAACATGATGTATAGCCATATAGATAACTAACATAAATACATAATGTCATGATGTTGAAAGAAATATACACTTATGACATAAATATTAAATATAATATATACGCGAACTTAAAAGAATAATTATACAAAAATAACAAAGATCTCAATTATATAAAAGTAAGTCTAATTTTAAATAGTTATTACAGTTATAAATAATTTTTGCATTTATTAGCTATGATGAAATATAACTAAATGCAACATAAATGTATAACTTTTTAAAATTTTGTTAAGTATAAGCGAGACTGTAAAAAACTAAAAAGTTCTCTACTAATAAATGTTGGTACTGGTTCCAATTAAGATTCTTAAGCATTTCAAGTCCTGTCAAAAATAATGAGATGAAACGAGAAATATAGAATAATCCCAAATCATTACTATTTATATTTTTGTTGCATAAGTAATTTAACATGTTCATAATTTCAAGATAAAAATTTGTTGTTAGAATTAAGAATAATTGATTAATTTAAATTTTTATTAAAATTAAAAAAGAAGAATTCTTTGGCTTAGTTCAAATGTATTATATATTATTATGAATATAATAAAACATATTATAAAATTATACATAGTTATTTATTTGAAAGGAAATTAAAAATTAAACATTTTATTTATAATTTGAAAAAATAAATGTCGATAAGTTTTTTTTATACTTTATAAACTATAAGTAAATCAAATTATTTGTCATCCGTTTTAATAATATTTATTATGATGTTTGTAATATTATTTTACTAAAAATCTTTAAATCTAATTACTCTAGGTTTGTTGATTATTGATGTTTTGTGTTTTAATAGGCATGCATTTATTAAAGTAACTATTATACCACAAGATTCATGGAAATTGATAATGGTGTATTTTCCCAAATTACCGTTTTATGAAGACCCGAATACCGAAAAACTTCTTTATGCAAAAAAAATATCCTGACTCATTTTCTTTATTTGAAAATGATGTTATTAGGTTATAGCTATAGTTATAGTTAAAGTATATATTATGTAACTATGTGTGTGTAAGTATATTGTATAATAGGTAGATTTTCAATGGACAGCACAATCACTTCCACCTTTTTATTGAAAAGTATCATTCATATCTTTATTCCACGCTGACCGAGTTTTATAAAAAAAGTGAATACAGAGATTGTCATTGTTAAATTTGCTATTGATCAAAAAAAAAAAAAAGAATAAAAATCGAATAAGTGCAATGATACATTATCCCATGAATTAAAAACGATACTGATTAGAGTTAAGGTAAAATAACGCTTGTTAACATTTTATCTATTTTATTTTATAATTTTTGAGCTATCATAAATATATACTAGTGGCTTTTTAATAAAAAATAAAGCACTTGCTTACATTACTTCAATATTTTATACGAATCTTTTTAAAAAAAACGATGTTTTTTCTTACGTTTAGAAACTAAAATTTAAAAAAAAAAAAATCAAAAAATAATTTTTTCAGAGCATTGTTCATACGATTTCTGATCTAAACCACCTAGCATACTCATTTTTTTATATGTATCTAAAAATCTGTTTATTTAAATTTTGATTTTTGGAATTTTTAGAAAGGTATACTTCAAAATTATATGTTTAGATATTTACTGCGATTCGATAAACGATTTAACGATGATACTACTTTTTTTCCATTCTAAATTTGCCTATTTTTACTGGAAATTATTGAGAAGATATTGAAAATGTTGATGTATTTTTATTGAAATTTGAATAAATAGTTTTTGAGTTGTTATAATTTATATATTATGAATAATAATCCTTAATATTGGTTCATATGAAATATAAAACATTGTGTGTAATATTTAGTTTAGAGCAAAGATTTCCAACCTTTTTTGAGACTATTATTCATAAATTAAATTAGATATTAGCAATCATACCACCCTACAAAAAAAAAAAAAAAAATAATAATTTTAATTTATTAATTATCAATGTTATATTAAGGTATTAGGTAATCCCTAAAGCTATATTAATGTCAATTATATTATTATTATACTACAACTTTAATATACGTGACTAATACAGAATTAATGCAAAGTACATACAATAAAAAAAAAATTTCCTGTTTTAACCCTTCAGAAAATCTTATTTTACCCTTTGGAAGATAATTACCTCCAGGTTAGGAACAACTGGTCTAGAGATTAGTGTAGGTACTCGATGTATACTGTTGAATTTATAATTTATAATTCGTAAACTAATTGTAGTTCAATTTGATTATGTTATCGGTACTATGATATTAAAGAAAAATAGAAAAACACCCTACCAATTTATTTCTAGTAAAAAGGGTATTTTTCGTATAAAGGAATATTAATTTTCCATTAACACAGAACACTCTTAAAAAAAAAAAAATCCTATTTAGGTATTTTAAAATATGATATAAGTAATTCAAAAAGTTAGAATGTGAATAAATGTATTACTAAAGAAAACATGAAAATTAATTTGATGAATCACTTTGTATATTTAAATACAAAAAAAACCATCATGATATCCCCCATTATAGCTCTTTAGGTAGTATCTATGTGAACATTAATAATATAATACCACATTTATAAATACATATATAGTGTATATACATAATATCGTAATAAAGTGGTCGATTAAGTTCGTATATCTACACCTATCAATTGCTGGTAAGTGCTATGATACAAAACGAATATAATGATAAAAAACGAAAGTTGTGGTGGTTCCCGCAAATGTGGCTCTATTATTTGTTAAATCGTTTATCCTGAGCGAGCGAGATAAGGCGATGGAAAAGCTGTTTTCAGTCGCAGAGGAAATTTTATCATTATTGTATTATTGTTGCTATGACGGATCGCGTAGGCACAAATCGTCTATAAATAATTTGACAGCTCATCGAGCTAAATTTGCAGGTCATAAGTTTTTCAAACCTTTAAATGCTTAAAAATATTTAATTTATAATTTATAGTTCATTATTAACAATATATTTTGTGCGCCAGTAGTTTTGGAAAAATATTCTTTGTGAGATTTGAGATTAAAAATTATGTTTTTGATTTAATAATCAAGAGTTTATAGGTAACTAGATGGATTAACTAACAAACATAAAAATTAAAATTTAGGATAATTTGGAATATTAGAACAGAATGTGTAAGTATGTAACCAACATATTTTCCAATAAAAATATTTACAAATTATTTATTTATCGTGAAGATATAGTTAGTGTTCGTTGTTAGCACTGTAAACATAATTATCTTGTACACTATGTATGTAGTTATCTAATATATATTTTCAGATGTGAACTGAAATATGTTATGATGAATTATTCATGACAACATTATAATATATTTATCTTAAAGTTTTTATTATTTTTAAATCAATTCAATTTTTAAGGTTTAAATTAATGTTTATACATACTTAAAATGTTGAAATGTTAATTATTATTTAAATAAGTAACATAAATTGAATTGGTTTTATTTTTAGCTCATATAAATTTCATTAACAGTTCTTGAATGCAGTATAATATTTGTTACTGATGATGATGGAATTTACTTTCTCATCCGATTTGTTAAATTAAGTGTTGAGATAATAAAGGAATTTACGTATCTGATTACATAATTATGATAAATTCCTATTAATGTAATGAATATTATTACTTTTATTTTATTTTATATTTACCTCTGATACAAGTATACATTTAAAAATAATTACATTTAATATCTTAAAAGCAAATATCTGTATATATATATATATATATATCATCAATGTAGGTATACCGATGTGCACAACGACAACAAAAAATAAGCGCCACATCGGTTTGTTATATTGTGGTTTTTAGCTGAGCATTTGATAAAATGTAATTTTTTTTATAGGATTAAATAATTAAAAAAAAGAAGTATTCAAGATAATACGGTGATGAATACTCTCGAGAAATAGCATTTACAAAGCATTGGAATATGACTCTCGAGTACGGCATTACACTGACTTAAAACAGCAGTAATAATGTAACGCAGCAGCTCCGCAGAACGAGCTTTTACGGTCCGTGTGTTGTCGTCGTCATCGTATTCGCCGCCACCGCCGCCGCAGTGTTGTATAGGTGCACCGTATATATCGGAGTACCCCAAAACATTAGCGCCGCCGCCGATGACGGCGCTCGATGGTAGGAGAGTGAGCGGGAATGAGAGTGCGAGAGAGAGAAGGATACGACCGCGCCGACGCTTATTACCCTTTGAGATTGCTGTGTGTATGTGTGTGTGTGTGTATTTTTTTACGTTCCATGCCGCCGCAGCGCTGTGCCGTTTCAGTGCGAGGCCTTAGCTCGCGTTCGGCCGGCGCGCGTTTACTTCCCTCGACTCCGACTACTTGCGAAGTCACGATCACGACTCCGGCGACTTGCGAAGTCACGACAACGGCACCGAAGACGACGACGACGACGACGACTCCGACGGCGGCGTTGGCGTCACATAATAACCATCGCATGGTATTTTACACCTCCCTCGTCGTCATCGGGGACACTTCTGTTGTATAGCAATTGGTCAAAATCGTGATTGTTAGCAGGTAAGACCATAAAAGCATCATACGGCAGTACCGCGATTTTTGGATTTAATCGTGTAAAATCTCGTCCTTTGAATATCACTGTAACGTTTATTTACGTGTTTAAAGTTTAAAAATCAGATCATCAAGTATATAATATTTTATAAACATTTTAATAACACAACGCAATTATACTATACTAGAACGGATTATTAATGTTATGGAAGCGTGCTCGGTGGATGTATACGCGTGTATAATATAATACCATACAATGCGATTTTATACGTTATACATTTTCGGGAGGGAATTTATTTGGCACGTGGGCGGCCGCGAAATGGCGAGATGCCGAGATAAGAGTTGACTAGGATATTATTTTCCTTCAGGACACCGATGATAAGTAGAAGTCATGACGCCATGCCGCTAGAGCTGTAGACTTGTCAGCGGTGGAGGTGGTCGTATTAATAATACCACTATCTGGTACATACACGATGTTTTGCGATAAACCGAATAAAATAGGATAATGTTACGGTACGAGTATATCGTCACATAGTATGTTGGCAAAGTGGAAAATTGATTTTCTCATCTTTGTGCCGACGACGGATGATGTGTGGGCGGGCAACTGTGGAGGGCTGATATGGTGAGTTCGCCGTGTGGATTCAAAATAAATTAATCGTTAAAACGGATGAATACGTGTCCAGAATGAGAGAATCCGGGAAAAATTAAATTATTACAAATTTATACGATAGTTCTCGAGTTAGTGGTAGGTATACCGGCTTTATAAATTATACGTACCCTTATAAATTATTATTATATTACATATATTTCGACAGTGTTGTAAGACAATATGTATATAATATACTAAAAATATATTATAACGACATACATTGTATATTATATGTGTAAGTATAAATACATATAATATATGGTTGTTAATAATTATGTATTGCTTTCATTCGTTGAGATTTAAAAACGGTCTGACAAATGGTCTCGTAAACACACACTTTATATAGCATGCTTATTGTACACATTTATTGTTATAGTACCCATTTATAATTTAGTAAAATAAAGTAATAACATTAGTCTATTATTAGTTTTTTCAATATAGGATGCGGTTAAATTATAGTAAAAAGCTATAATTCTGGTTTTAGAAAACTAGAGACATTTTGTAAAAAAAACGTTGAATAATTGATCGAAATATTACCTTGCAATGACCACTCGAGTGATACATACACTTCACTTGTCTACCACAGTACTTAAAAATTCTAGCAATATGAAAAAAACTTATCTTGTCAAACTACCTGAGAGTACATGAACTATAGGTCGAGAACTAACAAATGGATAGGTGCATTATTATTCATTAAAAAATCAGTATGAGAGTTTAAATAACACAAAAAAAAAAAGCTGGAGTTTTTAAATTAAAACTTTTTAAATAGTTTTTTTAGAATTTAACAAAAAATATTTATTATTTATAGGGGAAAAAATATAAATGCATACACATTTTAAATTGTAATACCCATTATAATGGTTAAACTACCTATGTATATAAACTCATATAATATATATTTTATGTTTCTAAATTATACATTAATACAAACAATGTAATATTTTGTGATAAACTACAGCTTGTTTTGAATTTAGAATAACCATCGTATGTTCCATTCCATTAAAAACGAGCCTTCTAATATGTTTTAATCTTAAATATAAATTGTATTTTATATTTTATTTCTATTATATTTTTTTCTTCAATAGTTATTTATCTGTAATTTATTAAAAACAAATTTTATTTTGTAACCTACGTATAATTTATATTATGTACTATAAAATTGTTGCTGGCGTTAGTAAACAAGCGTTCAATATATAATCTATCATTGAATTCAAATTTAACAAATCATCTATATCAGTGACTTACTTAGTGATTGTATATAATAAGTTTATGATAATAACTAAATGTCTATAGTTAATAAAATTAAAACTATACATTCAATAAATAATTATATATCAATTAAATGTTTAATATGTATAAAAAAAATTATTAAAGTAATAATTAACTGAAAATAGTTTAATATAATATTGCGTTCTAAATAATATTGATATATCAACATATAATTCGAATTTTTTAATTAAAACTTAACTTAAATTTTTTTTTTAATAAGTATACGTATTAATATAAATATAATAACGGCTTTTTTTAAGCAAAACGACTGCAAAACTATTTCTAGGTGACTTTTTGAGGCATTTAAAAACCAATTAATCAATTTTTATCTGAATAAACCCAACTACTTACACAGCTGTACTTACATTATGACAATAAAATAAAATTAAAAATAAAAATAAAATATCTTTTTTAATTATTTTGGTGAAAATTAAATAATCATTAATACAAAGTATCGTCGATTGATGATGTACTCATTAACTTAAATCCACGCATAAAATATTATTTAATTTAATTATAATATAATTGTGATTACATAAATTATTGTGTTTAAATTTAAGACAATTTTAGATGTTAATAACTATTATATATTTTTTTAATTATACAAATTGTAAAAAATATAAATTAAATATACTTATTATTTAAAATAAGTAAAATTACGAGTATATAATTTGTTCACAAATGTCTTTGAAACATCAATAATTATTAAATTATATTGTCTTTTTCCTGTACTGTTGTACTATTTATGGAATAGAGTGGAAAATAAGTTAAAAAACTAAATATTATATTATTTTTATATTATGATAAAATATGATTTTATTAGAAAATTTTCCAACAAATTGGTTGATTAGCCTAAAAAATAGATAAAATACAATTATTTAAAATGTTTGCAAATAAAACTTATTAAATACCTTAATAATACTTTAACTTAATAATTAACCTAATTTTACAAGTCATAAACCATAAATCAAAAATGATCATTTTTATTTTAATAAGACTAGGTGTATATATTGTTATACAATTTATTTTCTAATATTATAACAATAATATTTTAATATTTTAATTATCGTCGTTTATTAAAATCTAATATAACGGTTTATATTTTCTATTATAATAAATATATACCTACTTCATAATCAACTTTTCAGAAAATAAATTTAATAACGTTTTACAAAAAAATAAATTGCAAATTGTTTTTATCTAACAACAACAAAAATCAGTTCAGTGAAAAATTATGGTTTTTTTTTTAATTATCCAAGTATCTGACCCTTTTAATGTGCAATTAAGTAATAACTGAGATAATCTGTATGCACAAAAAATATGTTAACTGGTAGACTTACCTAAATTTACGTAGTATTATAATAATTCTGAGGTTCTGTTAATGAACGGTCCTCTTCACGTGAATCATGTTTATGTACTTTTATATAATCATTATTACTTATTGTTTTTATTTTGTAAACAAATTAAATTTAAATTAAAAAAAAAAAAAAAATTACCATTAATTGTATTATTTGTATATGAACGTATACATAGACAGTTTAAAAATGGAATTTAGTGTCATAATATGAACCTTATCTATAAAATTTAAGTAACGATTTTAAGTTTTTAATCACCTAATCATTTATTTAAATAAACTGAAAGAAAAGATAAGTCCAGGAAAATAATTAAGGTTCATGTATATTATAAGTTTATATTGCATATTTGCATATTGGACATGTTTAATTCAATAGGCATATGAAATACACAGTCGATACTAATTCTATTTCCTGGTCTATAGGACTTATATAATAACTAAATTAGTTCTGTTTTGCTCTTAAATGTAAATGTAGTACTATTTTAAATTCTGACAGGTGCAAGAAATATATTGCTGTATTAGTCTTACAATGATCTGCATAGTTTTTTTTATTGATATTTGCCATCACGTTTTAGAGTAAGAATGTTCTTAAACCTTAAACATTGATAGTATTTTAGTTTTATTTTTTGAATAATGTTAATTAATGACATTGCAGTACAAAATGTTTTTAAAAAATAATTTTTACAAATAATATTGCTCATTTACTAACATCATTGTTTATGTTTATCGGAAAACCTAATTTATATTGTCAAATATGTTTGCAATGTTTGGGTTTAACTATATTTTATGAAAAATATTGCTACATTTTCTTTTAAAGTTTAACTGCCTTGCTATTATTTTTCTACATTTTTATAGATTTGACACCAAAGTACTAATTTATCTAAATTCTAATCAATGAAAGACTATAAATACGACACATTCTGCAGAATTAAAATTAATTTTTGTGAACCAATTCTAAGTTATTGGTACTTTTCAGTTATGGCCATAAATTATTTAAAAACTTTTAATTATGTTAAAATTTTAAGCTTTTTGTAAAGATGAAGTCATTTATAAACAAAAAAACTTCAAATTACAAATGATATTGTGATCACAATAAATTTTTTATGGTTTTTCGAAAGAAGAAATTATTTTAATGAATTCTTTTAAACATTTACTTTTGAATTTAAAGACTTAAGTAAATTGTCATTTAATTGTGCTTATATATTTAAGCATGAATAATAATATTTTTGAATAGTTTGCTTCGATTGTCAATTAGTAAGACTTATTAAAATATATATTTTTTTTTAAATTAATGCACGTATTGTTTTTAAATTAAATAGACATTTAAAATAAAAATGTTATATACATATATATTTTTAAATTACATTGGATGTGAAATATTTTTTATTTTTACTTAAATATTGAAGTGTACAATATTAGTTAGAATATTATAACTAATATTCGTCGGAAAATGTTTTGTTTCTATTTTCTAAGTCGTAACTCAATATCAGTTATTTTCAAGTAAAAAAAAAAAAAAAAATAGTAAAAACATTCTGATAGATATTCATATACTACTAAATATATAAATAAAGTATAGAAAGTAGAAAACGTTTTAGATTCGATTCGATATTATTCAGCTGTTTTACTAGGTACCTAATTCTATTTGAAGTCTCAAGAGACTATACATTGATATTGATGTTTATTATTATAAATCTAAACAGTTAGTTTTTAAACCAACAACTTTCATATAACTTAGTG